TCTATGTATTTATTGCCAACACAAAATTGTGTAGGCAATAAATACATAGACCCTCTACCTATATCAATAATTAATGACATGTTTTACGCATTCAAACTATGTTAAAGAAGATTTTTACATTCCATATAATTTAGAAAAAGTGGTAGAGAAATGTTAAAGCAACTGAGTGTTAAAATTAGCCTCAGAAGCTGGATTTTATTTCAAATTAAAATTGCTACGTTTATGTCACTAAGAAAGAATTGGTGATTGGTGTCTTTCACTGGTGAATGTCAGCAATCACATAGTATCTTTGGTAAATGCTCGAAATATGTGACTTAATATTAATTTATTCATAAATATTTGAATATTTAAACGAAATTTCAATATCCGATAAAGATAGGTTAGGAAAAACATCAATGTAAAAAATACCAGGCAAGTTAGGGATAATTACCGGTATTCAATATCCAAATGTTTTCTGAAAATTAAAAAGCTTTGCCCGGTATTCCTTATACTGATATTTTTAAGGTTAAGAGCCCTTGCTTGATATACATTTGACCGGTATTCGCCACACTAATATTTTTCCTAATCTATTCTAATCGGATGCTAAAATATCGAATAACTATTGAAATATCAATGAATAAATTAATATCAAATCGGACATTTAAAACATTTCGGACATTCACCAAAATGACCATGTGATTGCTGGCATTCACCAGTGAAAGTCGACGTTCTCCATATTTATATGGTCATATATATATAATGATTCATATATATTCTCTGATTATAATATATATATGCTACCGTGAATGACCGAAATCAAGAGAATGTCTACTTTCACTGGTAAATGCCAACAATCACATAGTCGCTTTGGTGAATGTGCGAAATATTTGTTATATCCTTATATCCAAATTGTTATTAGTTTATTCGTTGGTATTTTTATATTTCATTGGTCGTATATTCGATATTTTAATATCTGCTGACGATAGATTAGGAGAAACATCAGTCTTCGGAGTACCGGTTGAATACATACTGGGTAATGGCACTTGACCTTAAAAGAAACATCGATGTAGGGCATACCGGGAAATGGCACTGAGCCTTAAGAAACATTGATGTAGGACATACCGGGCAAATGTATACCGGGCAGGGGCACTTAACTAGAAATGGTATATATGTACCAAAGCGACTGTGTGATTTTCAACATACACCAGTGTCAACAGTCACCAATTGCAGTCATACACAGTAACATATACTATAATAATGGAATATATAATATAATGGAATATATATTCATTATTATAACGGTTGATATAATAATGGAAGAGACACTTTCAGTTTTTGACATTTTTTTAAATTTCACAAGAATTACTTAAAGGATTATTTCGTAGCTTTAGAGATGTTTAGTGATATCGTTATTTTAATAAAAGATATGGTTATTTTAATATGGTTTAGATGAAGATATGGTTATTTTAATAAAAAATTTATTTTTTTTTTGCGATGCGTTTTTTCGTTATAACTTTATAGCTATCCAATGGAATTAAACAAAATTTTTGGAGAAATTTAAGATTAATTACAAAATTGCTGATTTAAAATTTTTAAAAAATTCGTTAAAAACTGCGAAAGATATGAGTATTTAAGCCAGTTCTTTTATACTGCGCATGCTCCGAAAAATTTAAAAAGGTTTTTTTTTTTTATAATTTTGTAGGGAATCGTATTTGGCAATTAATAATAAAAGCTTTATTTGAATATTTTGAAAAGTTTCAAGCAATTTTCTAAGTGGTTTTTGTATTTCTCAAAAGAAATCTCGAAATTCACAATTTTATTTGTAATCATAAGACAAAATTTAATAACAAATGATAATACCTTACTATAGATACCCCAAAACTAAAATGTGATGATATAGAGAAGGAAAACATATAAAAGAAAACATACTTTTATAATGGGTGATTCCCCACTTTTTAATAAATCTTGTTTAATAGCACAAGATGAAATTTGTGAATATCCCTTATCGTTTTATTTTATCATCGCATTTCTCATCATTTTTATATTTTATTTTAATTGCAATAAAGACTCTGCTATTTGTTGCTCCTGTTCAATTTAATTACTCCAAATAAGTAATATAAAAAAAAATGTTAAAGTAATTTCCTGCTTAGGACAACAAAGAAAAATTTTATTTTAGCTACTTTTTATTAAACAATTAAAAAAATTTCTGCCATATAAAACTAAATAATTAAATTTAATTACTGAATTAATATTTAAAAAAAGTGTATTAACATCAAGTGTCATCCACTACAAGCTTTAAAAAATTTATTTGAGCTTGAATGGATGAATAAAAAGTATTCGCGATCGCAACGCTCGAGTACGCCGTCTAGCGGGAGCCTGTAAATATCAGACATTAATTTATCACGTTTTCATTTAGTTCCATCAAAATCATTGACTGAATCAGACGCCATTTTTTAGCAGCAAATAAGAAACAAAATTTCCCTAAGGAAAAGGCCGAAGAACTTGAAAAAAATCTCCAGAAAAGAGATACATCATGAAAACAATTTCGTTATGTGCTACATTAATGTATGCAAACATTATTATTATGAATCAAACAAATTAAAATAAGCTTAAAAGTTTTAACTTCTTTATTTATTTGTGACATCTGCTAACTTTTAACTAAGGAAGAAAATAAAAATAGCATTCCTTAAAATGAATGATTGGCATTTTATTCACTTGCTTATTATCTGTGCTGCGTCCAGTTTTCTTCCATGTTAAGTGATAATCAGCTTAAAAATGTTATGTTAAACATATAAAATACAACAATAATTATTTTGATCCACGGGTTACCAGTATTTTCGCGTTAATGAGGTATTTATTTTTTTTTTTTTTTTTTTTTTTTTGCGCACAGACGATAGGATTATTGATAAATATAAATATTGCTTAAATGAGAGGAAAAAAAACAATTATGATTTATTAAATCAAGCTTCGCCAGTTTACAGTTTAAAATGTAAGCAAAGCTTTAAAATAAACGCAATTGCTGATTTAAATATTAAAATTAACATTTTAATCGAAATTAAAAATATGCAATTTGTCCTAAAAATTTAGTTTTTTTAAACCATTTATGGCCCGAGCCATACATCACTTTCTCTGGCTAGTTTCGAATACTCACATTATGTTTGTATGAAGTATAAAAAGAACAAACTTCTCAAAAATGCCTTCATTCTCCACACTTTTCTTCGTGCTGTCACATTTTTATTTACAAGTGAATGATGCAAAATACTCACAATAGCTTATAAAGAGGGTTACAACAGAAGAGTGAAAAATCGTGAAAGCCTAAGGTTTTTATTAAATTCCTAAGCTCCCTCAACCCAATAATCCCAGATTTGGCCTTCGGTACTTAGGGAATCAATATAGCCCTTAAACTGCAAAGTTCATAAATTTATTACATGAAAATATCATTTTGCAGTTTATAAATATTTAATTAATATTTCGTTGTCAGGGTTGCTGAAATCTGGGGGAAAAAATTCCCTGTACATATTATACACAATATATTAAGAGGGAACTCACAATTATTGTATTCTTGTATGAGCTGTATTGGGCTAACGATACTTATTAGTTTTACTTGTTGAAAAAACTTAAGAGGAACAGCTGAACATACTTAAAAAAATAATGCTAGAGTAAATAAGCTATTTTATTATGGCTGAAATATCCTTAAATATTACATATTATTTTGAATATCCCACATCCGCCTTATAAGTGGTTATCATTTTTTAATAGACGAAAACAACAAATTCCCTGTTTTTACCTAGTTTGTAAGGAAAAATTATTCAAAATTCCCTGCATTTTCAAATTCCCTGTATTTTCCAGGTTTTCCATATTCTCCCTGTAGAGTGGCAATCCTGTTTGTATAAAATTGTTCAAAATATAACAGCAATATAAAACCAGTTTTTCAGTTGTAGCCCAGAATCAAAGATGCGATTGAGAGTTATTTATTTAAATTTGTGTCAAATTAGGTTTTTCTTTCCTAAAGGAAATGGTTTAATTTCACTTTGGCCATAAGAATAATATGAGTTTCAAACAGCTTCTGAGGTAAGTTTTTTTGAAATAAAAAACGGGGTGGGGAGTGACATTTTCAGGAAATTTTAGAATTTTTAAATTTTACCTCTAAAGGGGCATCAAATGAAGCATCTAAATCACACACTAAAATCAAAAGAACACACTAAGAGCTCAATGAATTCTACATTGAAAGGCATTCTAAAATTATAAAAATTTTCCAACGTTTCAGTTAACCCACTGACGGACTTTAACCTGCAGTTTTTCCTGCTCAGCAAAACCGGTTTTTCCATGTTATTAGATAGGGAAATAGTATATTGGGGAGAAACATTCTCCTTATTTCACACTTTTGCAAAACCGCCAGTGGGTAAAAGGAAATTTTTTTTGTTGCTTTTTTCGGCTGTAATGAGCATTATGCTCACTTTCAAAGGCCCGCAATCAGAAACTATAATTCGTAATGAAAAATGTTGAGATATGAAAGTTCTATGGTACCAATTACTGATTTCAGGGAACACTTAACATTACAGCTTCGCCCATTATTACACATTACTGCAGGCAAAAAAAAATAATAATAAGTAAAAACAAGTACAATATTTAAAAAAAAATTGTCAATTCCTAATTAAGTCAACAACGAAAAATTTTATTTTAGTTACTTTTTATTAAATAATTTTAAAAGAATTTCTCATATAAAACTCAAGAACATAATATACGGAACAAGTAATCTCCCAGAGTTTTCATAAAACGAGTCACATAAAAGAACAGAAATATGTCCCAGGAGTATTTTTTGTAATAAATGAATCACAATGACTCTCCTCTTGGCTTAAATCCTTTTTTGAACTTAGTTTTTTTTTAGCGAAAATTATCAAGAAACTCAAAGAAAATATTAACTTTTAAGGTAAATTTATAATTTTTTTCCCTCCACTTTATGTACTTCATAAAATTTTGTACTTATTCACATAAGCAATAAAGTTCGTGCAACAGAAGAATGCATTTTCGTTAAAATCTTTATTAACAAGCTAAAAAATATATTATATATAGATCACACACAATATTCTAGACAGATGTCAAAATCCTGGATTCCAGTCTGTCACTTGCGCTACAGTTCTTAGGGAGAAGCAGGTAATAACATCTCCGGGTAAAAAGGACACTTCAGGGTCTTCAACCATGAGACCGCACTCTGTGTCCTTTTTGATGGACTCCACTGGTGTCTTCTCATGCTTCAGGGATGATATTGGACCTGAAATACATAAAGGGTGAAAGAGAGTTTATGGCACTGTGGAAAATACAAAAATGAAAGAGTCATTTTTGAACTTAGAAAAATATTAAGATAACATCATTGTGGCGTCGCTGTGGTAGCGATTACTATTGGTGAAGCGAACTGAAGTGGTGCAGATCTTCAGAGTATAAAAGTGACGACATGGATGCGATAATTGCTTTTTCTTCCACGTAATTTCTTCAAACTGCTAGCTGTATTGACGAGAGCACGCTGGGCGTGTGAGATGTTTGTTTAATCAAATAAATGTTTTCTTTAGTTGTTTATTAGTCTCAAGTCTTATTTTCGGAATACAGGATTGTTCCAGAGCGTTCACCAGATGAACCTACAATCATCATCAATGGCTGCTTATATATTATACTCTGCTTACAAACCTATATCTGTCTTATATATATAGCGGCATACCTTGAATAACCAATCAGAACACTTGTATGATGAGAGATATAACACTTATAATTACTTTTTTTTTTTAATGTCTGAAATTAACTTTTAAAAAAGAATCAGACCATAAAAAAAAACATTTTTACAAAGCATAAAAAATTAAAACATTCTTTCCCAGTCATTTTACCTTTCTCCCTGTTCCAGTGATCTTTTGAATTCGTCATAACCGTCGTTGAACAGAGGACCCAATTTTGGGTTTACGACTACTAATGTTCAACTCCGTAGCCTTGTACTTTTGAACCCAATCCAGAAGATAAGCTAACTCCTGGATGGGGAATCTTTGCCTTCGTAAAGGACTTTAATGATAGAACTAACTTGCATTTGCCTTACATAGAGAGGAAAACCACGGAAACCTCCCACGGTTAGCCTGACGGTAAGGGAACTCTAACCCATGATCCGTCTACCCCTGAGAATAATTTATATCAGCACCGTGGTCAGTGCAAGTTGGGTGCGAAATTCATATCGCTGGGATTCGAACCCTGTTCACCTCATTGGAAAGCGAATGCTCCATCTCCAGAGCCACCACGGCTCTATCATCACTGATTGAAAAATTTGGCTCTTTGCATAAGTTGCCTGTATTTTGCGTTGTGCTAGCCAATAGAAATAGCTTACAGCAATCGCTTGATATTTCTTGCCTTTTTAAACTTTATTAAAAAATCCATTTAAAAAAATCATTCAATCAAACTAAATTGCATAGTATAATTCTTTAATAAGCCTTTACTACTCTTGGCTTATTACAAACTGCCTGTCATTTGAGAGCTGAATGATGAACTTAAACGTATATGGAGTTACTTTAATAAACATAAAAAGCGTCAGATGGATAGAAAGTACCGAAGAATTTTCTCTGAGTTATTGCGTCTTAGTTCAATTAGCATATCAGTTTTGACAGATCACTCACCACTGTACAGGGTTTGATCATTCCTTGTCACTTTGTAGAGGGCGCTCTTTTTCAACATCCCCTTAATGCACCTGCATCCAGCCACTGGCAACTTCTTCTTCCCATCTTTGATAACAAACTCCTGCAAAACAGTTGCTTCTCCTGCAAAAAAAAAATATTTATCATAAAAACAGTTATAAAAAAACAATGAACAGTAAAAAAAAATTTAAACCAGGGTAGCCACTCAAATCTGGAGAGAAAAACATTTCCCTGTGCATAAGTGAAAAAATTATTGTCAGGGAAAAATTTTTTTCCTCCAACACAATACATTAAGAGGAAAAACACAATCACTGTGCATATGTCTAAGCTATATTAGGCTAACTATATCTATTAGGCTAGTTATAATCGCTGGAAAAACTTAAGGAAAAAAGGAACAGCTGAACATACTTAAAACAAATAATGCTATATTAAATTAACTAGTTTAATGTAACTGAAATATCATCCTTAAATATCCCTTAGAGTGCACTTTGAGTGGTCACCATTTTTTGAAAGGCGAAAATAAGTAACAAAATTCCCTGTATTTTCACAGTTTTCAAAGAAAAACTCAAAATTCTTTACATTTTCAAAATTATTTTAGGTAATTTTTAAATTCCCTGCATTTCCTTGTTCTCCTTGTGGAGTGGCAACCCTGCGATTGTATTTGTGCCCTATAAAGATGCTTGCAGAATGATAAAAAAAGAGTAAAGCCTTCCCACAATAACCTGTAGTGGACCCAAGAGTTCTTGGGTTTTAAAGCAATGGAATTTCATGACCTACGGAAGGATATTGTGGCAATGTGGCCAACATCGTGCACAATCTGCCTTTACTTCTTGGACATTACGGCAACTGACCGATTTGAAGCCCTCGTGGGGATTGAACCCCAGTCCTTCACTTCCAGTGCCTGAACAAATGAGCTATTGAGGATCAATTTGAAGCAAATTTGTGAGTTTACTAAGAAAACCAAGCTGCTTGAATGAGAAAACTGTTTGCATTTTTACAGAACATATTTCCCATCTTTTTAATTTTCAAATGCTTTAAACTACCAAAACTCTTTTTAATGAGAAATTTGATGCATAAAGTCACTTTTTTATATTTATGTGGAATTCATAAATTATTTTTTGATCCAATTCACCCAATAATTCAATAGCATCCACTTTATCGATACAATGTCCAATATCTACCTGTATTGAATTAAAATATTAGCAGTTACAGGCTTTTTATAAAATGTAATAAAAATAACATAATTGGTTTAATTTAATTACAATTCAATTAAGAATGATTAAAAATAAATAAATTTATGAAATTAAAGAAATTTTTTAAAAGATAGGAAATATGTAATGAATATTGTGGCATCACACTGATATCTTAAGACAAATTAAAAAAAAACATTACAACTCATTAGAAATGTCAATCTATTTGCCCGAAACCATAGAAGCTTAACTAAGCTCTATTTCTCGAAATTATCCTTTCTCTTTTTTAAGAGAATCTCTAATTAAATTCAAACAATGTTTTTTTTATATTTTTAGACTGAAGAAATATGTTGCTAAAGTAAAAAATCCATACAAAAATATGTCTCTTAATTTATAACACACTTTCATTTTATTTTATATAATATAATATTATGCTAATACTCTTGCCAGCTTATTACATGCAACTTGGCTACAAAACAAATTTTAGGAATTATAAATATATGCTCAAAAATATTTTTTACTGATGACATTAATTATAAAACTTTTTGACATTATGAAATATTTATATTATGATAAAATTTCATAATGATGATACAATAAAATCTTTTCAAAAAATCAAAAATACAATAACAGTGATAACTGTATACATTCTAAAATCTCATACAATAAATCTAAACTGAATATTTTTTATTTGTTCAGTTCAGCAATTATATAATAGGAAAAGTAAATAGGAATTAAAGATTTTAATATTTAAAAAATATTAAGAGCCTCAAAATTATTAAATTGCATAATGTATTTAAAATTGAATATAGATTACTCAATGCATGTTTAAAGTCAATTTGATGTTTTTATTACTAAATTGCTGGCCGAAAATGCTTTTAAAATATATGCTCAAAATTTATAATTAATAATTACAATGTATTAATTTGATGTTTTATCATAATTTGAAACTTGAATGAAAATTATACTATTATATTATAATTAAATACTTTTAAAGTTGAAAATTATAATTTACACAGAAATGGTAGAACAACATTTTAAACAAAAACATAAGCATAAAATTAAAAGCACACTAGATTATCACTTATAAATTGCAAGTATAATTTTCTTAATTTGTAAAGAAAATAGAAATGTTTGCTACCTTTTCATCGAAATTCAAGTATTACAGAATTTTCTAAAGAGGTAATATGTGGACCCAGTTTTACCCCAATAGTGGGGTTATAAATAGATGGAGTTAAAAATAGATTTTGTTTTTGATTTAGTCATGACAGGGAATTAATGAGTTTTTCATTTGCACTGAAATAAAAAGTTAGCCCTTACATTGGTTGTTAAGAAAAGAATAAAATATTTATATTAGCTTTTTATAAAATGTAATAAAAATTAAGTAATTTGTTTCATTTAATTAAAATTCAATTAAGAATGATTAAAAAAATTAATTTAAGAAATTAAAGAAATTTTAAAAGATAGGAAATATGTAATGCCTATTGTGGCATCACATTCCTCTGATTATAAATTCTAAATAATAATATATTATATCATTTAATTATACTTCTTTAATTAATAATTTAAAATGTTCTTGTTTTAGCCTGTATTGATGTAATGTTACGTGATATGGCATTTTGCGCACCCTGTTTTTACGTAATATTACGTTCTGGTTTATACATTCCATTTTATCTTGTGTTTGATATAACATTTTGTTCTCTATGCTTTAAATGCATGTTAGCAAATAGTAAAGAGAGATAGAAAATCAAATAGGATTAAAACAGGTAAGGGGTAAAGAATATAAATGATTATCAAAATCACAAAAAAACATCAAAATATGGTTTTAAATCCATTTTATAAAATAAAAATGACTTTCGAAATGATGATTATTTTGGATTAAAAATGAATGAAATTAAGTGGAGTTTGAATGGCAGAAAAAAAATTATTAAAAAGTATATGTAGATTCTGCAAACTAAAAAATTAAATATTCACCAATAAATTCCTCTTCTTCCACTAAAGGTAGCTTGCTATTGATTTCTATTTTCATGTCAGCAATGAGATGATAAATGACATTAAAACTTTTTATCTTGATACCCTTTTCATCAGCCATCTTCTTAATTTCTGATGGCACACTGACATTGAAAGTATATATAAAACCTAAAACATGAAAAAAATTATAATCAATAATTAAAATGAAACAAGATGACCATCAGCATCAATAGCACGGCAGCCCAAGGGGGGCCTTCTCAAGGAGTTTTTTCTGGGCCAACCTTTTTCCTGCTGGCATTTTCCAGTTTTTAGTTTTTAAGACGAAACGGTCTCTTTCTACGCCATCTATCCACCTCAAATTCGGCCTCCCTTTTTGTGGTACGCATGGATGAGATAGGCCAAAAGGCAAAAAAGCTGAATTTTCACGCCAGTAAATCTTACGTGATTTATAGCAAAACTATCAGTAACATACTCTCATCCAGTTTCGCTGATGTTGTAATGCCTATATATAGCAAGAATCAACGATAGAAAAACTGCCGCATTTATAGTATATAACTAATTCGAGAAAATGAACTTACCTTTTACAAGAATTGCGATAAAGGATTTTAAAATTGCATGAATACAAATAGCGATTTTGGATTTTAAATCGTTGGTTGGATTTTAAATCGAATCGTTACATAGAATTTTAAAAATGACTCAATACAAATCGCGATATTGGATTTTTAAATCTCGTAAATAAGAACTGCTATGAACTATATTGAAATTGCGTGAATAACAATCAGGTAAATACGAGCTTTCTAGGGGACGGGTAAAAATGAGAAAAATTTTATTTCCTGCTCTTAAAAGCTAATAGCTGAAATAAGTAGTATGCGGAAAGGTTGGAAACTACGTAGTTTGAATTTTCTATATATATTTCGATATATTATAATCAAATCGGAAATAGATATGACATGAAAACTCAGGAAAAAAATTCCCCAACTTTTTCCTGATTTATACTAATTTTATTCAATTTCTCGGATTTTTGTAACCAGAAACATACATTTTATTATTAAATTTTCAGTTGGGCATTTTTTATACAAAAAAGCGATATTTAGATTTTTTTTTCAGTTCAATTCTTCTTGAATAATGAGATGAAAAGAAAATGAAATGATGGTAGGATAAGTTTTGAAGCCTTCTTAGTAAAATTATACAAAATAATGTCTCAAATTATTTACACATAGAGGATAAATTATTTAGAGAGTAGAAAAATATTAACATTGTTTTACATACTTGTTAAATAGAGACTTAGACTAACTGAAGTGTTCATTAGTTGTGAAATAGATTCTGAAAATTTTAAAGCTATATATGATAAAACGTCTAATAATTTGAAACAACTTGTAAATAGAAGACTGAAACAAAAACAGCAATGAAAAAAAAATATTTTTCAAAAACTGATTAATTTAAATACAGATAAATCATCCCAAATTTAAGTTTACAGATTTTTTTTTAATTAGATAAATACATATTATAAATGAATTTTATATTTTTAATAAACAAATACATTGTTGATAAGTCAGAGAAGATTTACTTACAATGACAGTTAAAGTAGAGCTGAAATTCTTTTGGTTTTTAGCTTACATTTTAAAATAAAAATGTTAGTTTTATCTTGTAAATGAAAAAAAAAACCAAAAAAAAAAAAGCAGGTGACTAAGTATTCCCACTCAGTCGAAAGCATTACTGGTAGACATGAAGAAAACAATATTAAAATAAGTTTGACAAATATCTTAACAGTAGAGCTAGATTTTTTATTTCCCTTCTCACAATTTATTATTTTTTATTTTTGAAAATAGGTTGATCACTGTGGTTATCTAGTCTAAGTTGTTGTGTAGTGGTTACTGTACTGGACTACTGCTCCAATGGTTGTGGGTTCGAATCCCACTGTAACTTTCTCTCTCTCTGTTTTTTATGTCCTTTCCTCTGTGTGATTTTATAATACAGTACAGAACCCGTTATCCAGAAATCAGAAAACCGGAAAACCAAAAAACCGGAACGAAATTCGATAAATTTTCCCGCCATTTTTAAAAAAAAAAAATTTTCTCCTCATAAGATTTTAGGATTTTCCTTTCTTTTTTGAAAGATGTTTACCTAACCATCATTTTGGAAATAATCATTAGTGTATTACTTCATCGTTTTTTCTTCTTTTTAAGATTATATCCACAAAAAAAAATTTTTCAGTTTGGTTTAATATTAAAAAAACGACTTTTTGTAGCGATGCAGAAAACCGGAAAAATCAGTTATCCGGAATAGCGATGGTCCCGATCATTCCGGATAATCGGTTCCCTACTGTATTTTATAACCGCCGTTGAGCAGCAGACCCAATTTTTGGATTTACGACTGCTAATGTTCAACTCTGTAGCCTTGTAAATTTGAACCCACTCCTGAAGACAAGGGAACTCCTGAATCAAGAATTGGGAGAAATTTGCCTTTGTGGCGGACTTTTCAATGAGACTAAGCCACATTTGAGCTACATGGAGAGAAAGAGTACAAGAATCTCCCACGGTTAGCTTCACAGCAAGGGGATTCTAACCCATGATCCGTCTACCACTGAGGATATTTCTTGTCAACACTGTGGTCCGGAGTTCGTATTGACCAGCTATAGCTGGAATTCGAACCCGGTTCACCTCATTGGAAGGCGAACGATCGATCTCCTGAGCCATCGCGGCTCTTGTCTGTGTGATTTTTTTAAATTTAGTTTTTTTTTTATATCCGTCGCTGAACAGCCAAACCAATTTTGGATTTACGACTACTAATGTTCAATTCCGTAGCCTTGTCATCTTGAATCAATCCAGAAGACAGGGAAACTTCTAGATCAGAACCCCAAGAGGTATTGATTTGTTATGGGAACATGGAGGACTTTGCAACTCGACAAATTTGACGTGCATCAGTCACTCTTTACTACACAGGGACTCGTCAGCCGACGAGGATCAAACCCACGGCCTATTGGACATGGGCCCAGTGCCCTACCAACCAGGATATCCCGGCCTCCCTCTGGGTGATTGTGTGAGGGCACTGGGCCCATGTCCAAGAGTTCGTGTGTTCGATCGCCGCCGGCCGAAGACTTATCGCGTGGTAAATGGTGACTGATGCACGCTAAATCTGTCAAGTTGCAAAGTCCTCCATGCTTCCAAAACAAATCAATACCTCTGGGGGTACTGATCCAGGAGTTCTCTTGTCTTCTGGACTGTATCAAAATTACAAAGCTACGGAGTTGAACATTAGTAGTCATAAACCCAAAAATTGGGTCGGCTGTTCAACGACGGTTAGAAAATCAAATGTAACCCGCCCTATAAACGGGCTTGTGGTTGAATGAAGTTAGCGACGCTATTCCACCTCCGTGGTTTAGCCAAAACGGCCCACTGGGTAACGATAAGATAGTAGCAATTCCGGTATTTCTGAGGCGAATGGGAAATAGATCTATGTGCCCGCCATTAATTTTTTATTTATTTTTAAAATAGACATGAAAGGTACCATTGAAAGCTTCAGCCATTTCAATATCATTTTCAGTGACACTGCCTACAGCACTGTGGAGAACATCCATTCGGCATGTTTCATGAGATTGATATGTATCAACAACATCCAAAATGGCCTCCACTGAACCATGCACATCACCTAAAATTAAGACAAATAATTTAATTATAACAAATCAAAATATTTATTTCCTTATTATCACAGATGCGATTGATGAATCACAAAATAACTCTTTATTACAGATTAATCATTTATATTTTCAATTTAAATAAACAAGAAGAATATTTACAATTTAACCCTTTTGTCCTAAATGATATATATACGTCCCAAAGACAAAACTTTATTCCCTAAAGCAGTGTTTCCTAAACTTATGACTTTTGTGTAACCTTTCAAAATTTTTCGTAACGCTGTGTACCACTAATAAAAAAAATTTATGTATTTTTTGAAAATATGTTTATTTTTCTTCTTTGGTACAAAGTTTTGTAGGTACTAACCTGCGATCCATATTCTATGTTAGGGATAAAAATTATATTTTATAAAAATAATCAAAGTAAATAGAATTTATTACAAACTTTTACTATAAGAAAATTGCTCAGAAGTTAAAATCATAACTGTTGACACCACTAATTATTAACTGTTAACTCTGCAAAAAATAGCCAATAGAAAAAGATGCAATCGTAAATTTTCATGGCTAGCTTATGTTTTTAAATANAGTATTTACTTAACTGTTGACACCACTAATTATTAACTGTTAACTCTGCAAAAAATAGCCAATAGAAAAAGATGCAATCGTAAATTTTCATGGCTAGCTTATGTTTTTAAATAAAAATTTTTGAAATTTTCGTTTGTTGCAAGATATTTCGCCACTGAACTGTTCCCGTACCCCTGAGGGTACGCGTACCACACTTTGGGAAACACTGCACTAAACAGATCCCAATTTTGCACAAACTTCATTAATTTTTAGATGTCAGTGGGAAATCATTTTCCCACCTATGATTTGTGTGGTCATCTTCTGCTAACTTCAAAAAAAAATGTAAGAGTTTTGTTAAAATAAATATTCTGCTTTTTGGCTTTTTTGCTGGTATAGTTACCGTTTTATAAGTTTATCGACACTACCAGACAATGTAAATAAAACGCTATAAGCATTTTTTCTATAGCTACATGTTATAAAGCAAAATTAGAACATTTTGCTACTGGCTAGTCATAGCTTTTTTAACAGTGGTCAATTTTCAAATATTAAAAATTTTAAGAAACAAGCCTAAATAAAATACTTCTAAAATTATTATGAAATTTTCAAAATAGTTCAGTATACATTTTTAAAAAAATAAAATACAAATGGAACGCATTTTAAATACAAAAATGGCGACTGGCAGAGAATACTTATTTATCATAATTTGTTACCTTCAGTTCTTTTGTCTCAAAGAAACCATTGAGGTTGCTTTATACTACACATAAATAAACCAAAAGGAAGATGAGACAATATTTACGGGTAATAATTATGGAATATAACTAAAATGGGTTGTAATCACAGAAAAACTATATATAAATAATTATTAAATAAAAAATCAACAAATAAATTAAAATTAAATAAATAAAATATTACAAGCTTGGGACAAGTTTGTGAGCCACACAATTATAGATTTCCAACTCAAAATAGAGCTTTTTTTTAGAAATCCTCAATGGTGCAATATAAAAAATTTGCGTTCTACACAAAATGTTTTTAGTCTGTACTATAACTTTAAAACAAAATATAGAACAAACCTTTCAAGACAAAAGCCACATAAGGAGTAGAATCAAGAGTGAACTCTTTCTCTCTAAAGTAGTTACGTTCCTTCCTGTAACGTCCCCTACTCAAGCGTGCCATTCTTTCTTCCCTGTATTTCTCAGTGTGCGCATCTGCTTTCTTCTGAATGATCTCCTGATCTGCAATCATTTTCTCTTCCATTTTCACACTCTCGCGGTATCGAATTACTTCTCGTGCACGCCTCTGGAGAAAAAATTTATTTTAAAAAGTACACACAAGAAAATAAAATGAATTCAGAAATAAAAACATAAAGATGACGTTTTCAATACAAACAAATAATCTAAGCAAACTACAGAACACAATTCTGATAATTTCAATTTGAAAGTTAAAGCAAAGCTAGATAATGGTCTTATATTGCATTAAAAAAGCGTTTCCCAAAATTTTTTACACAGAGTACCACAATTCTGTGGAGAGATCACAAGGGTTCCGAACGTTTGGACTAAATTTAACCGATTATGATCTTTGAAACTCCGTCTGTATATTCCCTCAATAATTCGTATTGAATTATTGGGTAATGAATGCGTATTGAATATGCGGATGCGTAACTGCGTATTGAATATTTAATATTTTGGGTTTTTTTTCATGTAATTATTCAAAACTTTTTATTTCCGTAGGAGCTGATTCTACATCACTGCAGTTCATGCATAACAGATGCACTAGATTGAAGACTTAAAAAAAAGAAGAAAAAAAAAGATAAAACAGTAATATAAACTTTATAACTACAACAGTAAATACATTAAAGCAAGACCAATAAAATGAATGACATTGATAATAAAAGAAAATATTATTCAAGTAAAATATTGATAAAAGAAAAAAACATGGCATTAAAGAAAAAAGTGAAAACGATATGCATGTCTAAAATTTGCCACAGTACTTCCAATCGAATTTTTCAATCTGAAATAAAAGAAAACAAAAGAATAAAGAAATATAATTCTCTGAAAATCATTTTCAAATTATATAGCTGTTTCTTTTTATTACAATGCAAATCATAATTAATCTTATTTCATTTATTGCAATCCTCACTTGATTCAGAATCACAATAAAACATTTAAAATAGCATAGTAATTGCATGAAGCAATCATTTTTGGAATTAAGATAATAATTCCAAGAATGATTGATTCATGCAAATACTTCCATTAGTACACAGAACCTTAACAAAATTAAATAAACGTTCTTGAGTTAGGGCTTAAGAAATATGTGTTGGAAAGGTTAATTACGAGTTTACAGTTCAAGTTTGATCTACTATGTGACTTTTATAAACTCATGTTTGTGAAAATCGCAACACTATGAAGGAATCGTCATAATTAAATGAAATTTAATACACAGTTGAGTAGTAGTGGTACAAATAAATGATTAAACTTTCAAAGCAAACAAACAATAACTAGACATCGAAATCAGTATTTTGTGTAGCCAGCACCCGCCGCAATAAGTGCCGCTACACGACGTGGCATGGAGACAAACAAATTTTGAATGCCTGTCTGAGGAAGAGCATTCCATATTGTTTGTATGCGTACCCAAAGTTCGTTTGTAGAAGCAACAGGACGAGGATCACGAGCGAGACGCCGAAATCCCACACATGTGCAATTGGCGACAGGCCAAGGAAGAAGCTGTACCTGCCGCGATGCAAGGAAGGATTGAACAGTCCTAACAATATGAGGGGGGGATTGTCCTGTTGAAACACAGCACCTGGCAAGGCTTGAAGGAAGTGAACAGCTTGGGACAGTAGAACTTCACTGATGTACCGGTTGCTGTTCAGATTACCCACAATTCGCAGCAATTGAGATCGTCCATGATATGCTATGGCACCCCAGACCATAACTCAGGATGTTCGTCCACAGTGCCGTTCGATAACGCACTCCGGAAGGTGGCATTCACCGGCAGAGCGTCTGACACGAATGCGGCCATCATGGTACCACAAATTAAAGCGGGATTCGTCAGAAAACACGACACGCTGCCAATCTGCACACCAGTCCCTATGCTGGTTGGCCCATTGCAGCCGCAAACAGCGATTGTTTAGCATGAGGGGGATACTGTATAAAGGAGTCCTTGCGCGCAGTCCACGCTGCAGCAGACGTCTACGAATTGATGAAGCACCCAATGAAACACCTGTAGCTATTGGCCACTGTGCTGCCAGTTGTCTAGAGGGAGCTGTACGGTCCGTCAGCGCCATGCGGACCAGGTGTCTATCGTCGCGAGCTGACGTGACATTTCGGAGCACTCCCGGATTTCCGAGTTGTCTGACACTCGTTCGTCCACTGCTTCCAAACACGCATCACTGTGCTGCTGATAAGCTGCACACGAGCGACTACTGCACGATAAGATAATCCAACTTCCCGAAGGCCGATGATTCTCCCCCGTTCAAACTCCGCAAATTGTTGAAAACTCGCTCTCTTTCGTCGAAGAGGCATAAGTAACGACTAAGATAACGTTTACCACAAGCAGATAACCTTACACGCCTCGCTACAGCCGTCTATTTATTCGGATCCATCAGCCATTAAGAGGACGCTGCTCAGCATTCGCATGCGCTACGGATCTGAAATTCTAAACATTTGCATATCATGCATTTCCTGAAAATTTCAGCTGACTCGCATAAGTCCTTCATGGTGCTGCGATTTTCACAAACATGAGTTTATAAAATTTATCAAACAAAAAAGGTATAATATATAAGATCCGAAAAAGAGGGGCAGTTGTGCAGAGCGTGCAGTCCAGAGATGCTATGAAGTGCAGTATGGGTAAGTTCTCTCCATACCAGTTATTCCCTTTTTTATATATTAATTAGTTAAAGTATTTTATGTTAACAATATAAGATAATAACTTTAAATGTGATTATTTTAATATAGTTGAATATACATAATTATTTATTGCCTGCACCATCATAACATTATTTTCAACTTAGGTACACCAAAAAAATAAAATTCTTAACAAGATGAAATGCTATTTCATGAATTTAATAACCTGACATAAAGTTTAATTTTTAGACGAGCATAGATAGATAAAAAATGAATTCTGATTTTGAAATAATTAGCTGCCTTTCATAATTACAAATGAACATTACAGAGGCATAGCCAGGATTTCAATTTGAGGAAAGAAATTTCACTATAACCGGGAATTCACTATATTCGTTCTGCAAACAACTTTAACTAATGGTTCTGAAGTTCTTATTATTACATATTATTTAAATAAATGACCAATAAAATTTTGCATTTGCTTTTTTTTCACACATATCTTTTAATCCTCTTAAAACATGAGAAACTTTTCTTAACAGAGCATGTTGTAACAGGAATTGTGCTCAGTATTTTTGATACACAGTATTTTTGATTAGAGGAGTTAAGTTCTCTATGGCCTACTTAATTCAGATTTCAGTTAAGTCCAGTGACATAAAAATATATACATATTTTCTTATATTTTTAACTGAGAATTTTCTTACTTATTTCAATAGTGTGTGGAGTGAGTTTTAAATTCATATACGGTACATATAAATTGCTCCATATCTCCCCTTCATATTAATGTATAATTTTCAAACTCGACCATATTTTATATTATAATATCCTCTACTACCAAACCAAATTAAATAATTATAGACAAATTTAGGGTCCACAATGTCGCACAATACGGTTCCATTGAAAAAGCACAGGAAACTACTTAAAGCTTTTTTTTAAAATCGGAAAGCTAATAATTGCTAATTCCGAGGGTCTTGGGTTCATGGTTGTTGGGCCTGTACCCCATGGTTATCAAACACAGGTCTATTATTTTATGTCCCAGAGCTAAGAAAATAAAGCAATTTGGCAAAAAAGTGAGATGAAAGCAACTTGAAGCAGCATTAGAACAATGCCACGCAATGCTAAGAGCTTCACAGTAGAATTTCAGAGAAATGGAGCTTGACAACTAATTCTTTCCCTTGTTAATACTATCAACATTAAAATAAAATTTCAAAAATATAATTAAAGAATTATTATTATTTTTATTTATTTATTTCGCAATTTAGCTTATTTTACAAATTGATTTTTACATTGAAATTTTGCAACAGAAAAATCTATGAACTGAAAATTACATTGATTTTTCTATTGCATGGCAAAATAGGTAATGACAATTTTTTAAATAAATGCCATTTAAAAATGACATACAAGCTAAAAAAGAAAAGCATGCACTTAATATCTTTAGCTAACTTACTATCTTTATAATTTTAAAAATGTAAACAAGAAAATACCTCAGACTCTACTTCTAATATGATTTCACCAGTAGGAGGGAAACTCTTCCAACCAACCACTTGCACAGGCGTACCAGGAGTCGCAACTTTTAGAACATTTCCATTTTCATCATATAGGTTACGCACCTATATATATAGCAAATAAAGGACTCATTTAGACTATAACTTAATCAGTACATTAGAAAAAAACGCACACACAGTCATAATAGCATAAAATAAAGCAAAATAAACGTGAGGTAATCCATTTTTAGTGTATAGAATATGTAACCATCAACAAGGGTATGATAAAATTTTAAGTAAGAGGGAAATCACTTTTCAATCCAAGTTGCACAGTGATCAAAATAAAAAAATGACCACCCTGAATAACTTTTGATCCAATGATCGGATCTTCATATTCTAGAAGTCAATCTTAATGATTCAAAGGGGTAACCTCAAATATGCTAATTAATTAGCGCAGACGATATTTTAAGTTATGATAAAATTAGTTACAAAAACCTACTTTCTCTGAATACACATATCTTTTTTCAATGAATCCGGATTTCTGACCCCCAAAATATAGGGGGTAAAAGTAATCTGGGAAATATGGCCCAAACAGTTTGGTCAGCAGACCAGTCTAAAGTTTGGACCTATTAATGTAAATTTTATTTTTTGTGTATTGCGCTTTTTAAGCGAATTGAAAATTTTTTGCTCACAATTATAAAATTAGTTCATGATTGTGTGCAATATCTAAATATAATTCCCTGATCCAAAAATAATTCCCTGCAAAATACCACTTTTATTTTTTATTAATATGCATTTGACTTTTTACATCATTTTAAAGAATGCAATTTTAAATGGCAAAATACAAAATTTAAACGAAATCGGTCAAATTGTTCCTGAGAAGTAGAACTTCAAAAAAGCTGTATTTTAAAAATCAAATATCTCAGGAACTATTCAACCGTTTTCAATCAAAATTTGTATTTTGCCAAGTAAAATGACATGTTTAAAAATGATGTAAAACATTTTATACCTTACAATTCAAAATTTTTTTGGCTGTTATTAAACCAAATAATAAAAAATAATAAATACTTACTTAAAGTGATATTTTACATAGAATTATCTTTTGATAAACGAATTTCATAGTTGTGTGCAAAAAATTTTTAATTCACTTAAAAAGTTCTTGAGATATGGCGAAATACGGAAAAGTAGAATTAACATTAAAGGATCATAACAGGGATAATTAACATAAAAATAAAGAATAAAGTGTAAAAATGAAAAACTGCAAACAAAATTTCAATGCAGTTCTAGAAGAAATAAAGAAATGTGATCGCTCTTGCCAGACACCTCTTTTAGAACTTCTATACAAATCTATCTAGAAAAGTTTAGAGAGGTAGCTCTGACAGTAAGAGCTCTTACTCCTATTCAAAATAGCGTGGAAAGACCATTTTGCTAGGAAGATTATCGAATCGATTCCACGTTCCCCAATTAATGAAAATCTTGCCAAAAAGCTATAGTGCTTCTCAAAAATTAATAATGCCCGTTTTTCTATTTCGTAATAAATGTTAATTAAAATAAATAATCTGCCATGCTCCAATTTTTTCTGTAGCAACTATTACTTCCTTTATATTTTAAAAAAAAAATAAGCTGCAGCAAATGTTTACTTATATATGAGAGAGTCAGAGTCTTTAAGTTTAAAATTCCGAGCGTTGTAGTCCGCCATTTTCCCAATCAACTTCATAGTCCTGTTAAAAATAATCAAATTTATAAATTCTGTGTTTTAACAAATAAACCTGAGAGAAAAGTATTAGTTTCTCTTTCTCTTTTAATTATTTTTATTTTCTAAAGTTATTAGCTAATGGCCGCCAAATTATAGGTGGGAAAATAACATCGCAAGAACATTTAAAAATTAATGAAGTTGGAAATAGAGTTTCTACAGACTTATAAAGGGTAAAACTAGATGCAAAATTTAAATGAAATAATTGAGATATAATCAAGAAAAAAATCTGATAATTTATTTGAATGTATAATAACTCTAAATATGAAAAAAAAGACTTTGATAAAAAAAAAATAATTAAAAACACTCATTGTTACCAAAAAAAAAAAAAAATAATCACTTAAAAATTTATAATGAAATAAAGTTTTACAAGAACTGATAATCATTTTTAATTTAAAATTATGCACACATTTCGATGCTTACCTTCGCCCAAGAAGTACCAGCAACAATGACACTACCCTTTTTTAGAGTACCACGCTGAATTAATGCTGTAGATACTTTTCTGAGAAATAAAAATTAAGGTAAAATAAATTTCATAAAAGTAATAACCAATTTTAAATTTAAATTTATACAAAACAAATTCTGATAATGCAGAATATAAAAACATTTATTTATTATTGGTCAATTGTCTCTTACAGCACATTTTGTCAGCTGATATACATTGAAAATTAATTTTTTCTTTTTTTGTGTACTTAAAACAGGAAAATTAAAGAAAAGTTGTTCCTTAATTTCAGTTTTTTTCCTTTTAGTCTTTCATATTTAAATATTTAAGTTACTGTGTGGTACTTGAAATGCTTAGAATCAACATTTGCCTTGTGTTTTTTAAACAGGTTTTTCTATTAATTTTACTTTGACTTTTTTTTGTGTCAATATTTAAGTTACGATTTTATGCTTGAAATACAAAATTAATCACATTGTTGCATGTTTTCAAAGCATCTAAAAACATAAAAATGAAAATTAGTAAAACAAGTTCATACTTCTTCTATGATTTTTATTTACAGATTGTTATTATTTACGGTTTTCTTACAGCAAAAGAAGGTGGGGTGAACATTTTAAAAAAAACTTGAACAGAAAAAATCCCGCTGTTTTGAAAGATATTTTAGGAGACAGACAATTATCGCAGGTCCAGCAAATCAGTTTGAGGTTCATCAAGCAAGAAAATTGCTTAAATATGGGAAAGCTGCTGGCAGCGACAACCTACCTGGTGAACTCTGGTAGAGTTTAAAAACTGCAATCAAGGGTTTAACTGATCTGTTTAATAAAATCTTGAAGAGCGAAGAGTGTCCTAATGACTTGGGCGAAGATCCGCTGATAAAACTATCAAAAACATTTAACGATATGTGACAACGACGATATGAAAGGAAAATGGCAATATGTGACAATGGAGCCCTGATGGCTCAGGGGATACAGCGTTCGCCTTCCAATGAGGTGAACCGGGTTCAAATCCCAGTGGTGGCTGGTCAATTCGAATTCTGCATCTGTCTTGCACCGAGCACAGTGCTGACGTAAAATATCTTCAGTGGTTGAAGAATGATGGGTTAGAGTCCCCTTGCCATCAGGCTAACCATGAGAGGTTTAACGAAATGTGGGAGGTGTAATGCAAATGCATCAAATAATCCTCCACGAAGGCAAAAATTTTCCCAATACTTAATCCAGGAGTTACCTTGTGTTCTGGATTGGATTCAAAATTTCAAGGCTACGGAGTTGAACATTTGTAGTCGTAAACCCAAGAAATTGGGTCGGTTGTTCAATTACTTTTATAAAATAAGATATGTGACAATGGCGATACGAAAGGAAAATGACGATATGTGACAACTGGAGAGGAATCATTTTCTTAAATATATGTAGCAAAAGTTTCACTAGAATAGTGTTGTAAAGAATTTTAAAAAAAAAACAACCAACAAAAGACTGTGACCAGAGCAAGCAGATTTCAAAGCTAATAGATCATGTGTCTACCACATTGCAACATTAGGAATTATTGTCGAACATTCTATTGAAAGGAAATTAACAATACACTTAAATTTCATAGATTTTGAAAAGGCTTTCAATAGTTTACACAGAGAAACACTCTAAAAACTGCTGTAATACTATGGAATTCCTGAATGTTTTGTAAACATCATCAAAAATACTTATAAAAATTACAATATACGAGTTATCACTGCTGGTCAACAATCAGAATCCTTTGGAGTTGATTCGGGTGTTAGACAGGGTTGTATACTTTCTTTAACAATCTTTTTAATTGCTATTGACCGGATTATGAAGAGAGTATGAGAGAATAGAAGGGGTGTAAGATGGAACCTTGCTGAATATCTTTTTGATCTTGATTTTGCAGACAACTTATGCTTATTAACAAACACCTATCAAGAAAAAGCAAACAAACACAATCATTTTAAATGTAGAGGCAAAGAAAATGGGGCCTTTTATCAACCAAAATGAGACTAAAATTTTGAAAATTAATCATAAACATTAAATTATATATTCTTAGAAAATAACAAACTAGAAGAGGTAAACAGTTTTATGTATCTTGAAAGTATAATTAACAAAGGAATTGATGAAGATATATGAAGATTAAACAAAGCCCAAAGCAAATACGCTCTCAATAAATTCTGGAGAAAAACAAAAACAAACAAATTCTACATAAATTTAAATTTTCAATTCTATTGTAAAATCAGTCCTACTCTATAGACTTGAGACATGACACTAGAATAAAAATAACACAATAAAGCTTCAAGTATTTATTAATAACTGTTTAAGAAGAATCTTGTGTTATCAAACAGTTCCATAAGATTTATAATGCAGAAATCTTCAGAAAAGCAAAACAGAAACCGATTGAACCAGAAATTAGAAAACGTAAATGGAAATAAATTGGTCATGTTCTATATAAACCAGATAAATTTTAAGTAAAACAAGTTTTTGATTGGAACCCTCGGTATATTTGGCACGGGACAATGGTAAGAGTATTGAGAACAATTAGAAAGACATGAAGGGAGATAAAACATCTGGCCACAAATAGAATGAAATGGAGAGCTATGATAGAAGCCCCATGTTCCAATTTGGAGTAAAGAGATATATGTATTGTTCAGAATTTATTTTTGTTTGCAAAGCAATAGATTCCATCAGCAAAAAAAAAACATGTTGAAAAAGCTTTTGCTCCAGAGTTAAAGATAATTTTGCTGTGCTAAAGAATTTTCTTTTAGTGAAGTGCTTGCATGCTCAAATAACATTTGTGCCATTAAATGAACGTAATGAGCGGCAACTACCATAGAAAGTTTCCTAGCTCCCCCCAGTAGAAAATTTAAACTCTTTTGATGGAGGTTAGATCATCCTACAAGGGTCATAGGAGTGCTTTGTTCAATCCCTGCTCATGGCCGATGAGCATCTTTCTCACATGCACTCCTCCACACTGGTGACAATGAACACTGCAAAGTTCAATCCTTGATGGACGGCAGCATTACACTGCTTTACCTCGCTCCACGGTTCGCCTTGATTCGACCATTTATTAAGTCGAAGAAAAAATCCCATACATCTCAAGCTTTCCAAATCACCCTACTCCGGGTGATTGACAAGAGAGACAAATTTATATCTTTAAGCAGATTTTAGTTTTAACACACTAAGCTGCACAAAAAGTAATAAAAACTCACATTAAACAAATTGGTACAAAGAAATCATATTCTTCCATTTCTAAAATCAAATTTCTCTTAATATCAACAAATAATTTATTGATTAATATATATGTTTTACAGAATGTCACCTTATTAAAACAAAGCAATACTAAAATAGCATGATGAGACAAATTTGTCAAGCTTAAAAGTTACTTAAAAGTTCATTCAGAAATTAAAACCTTTTTTTTAGTTTTAAAATTACTGAATTCAGTGAAAATTCTCAAAAGCTAAACATGTTTGGGCTTTAATTTGAAAAAATACTGAAATTAAAGTTCAAGTGGAACCCTAATTACATAATTAAAAAAACATAAAACATAATTAAAAAAATAAAATTTTTATGAAGTGTATATACACTTTACCCTTTTGAAGTGTCTAGGCTAGCCTCTAAGACAACGCCCTCTACCATTCCTTTTGGGTCACCAGCCACACCCATCACTTCTGCTTGTATCAGGATAGCATCTGTCAGGTGATCTAAGTTGATTTTCTGTATTTCACAATAGGTAAAAAGCTTAATTTACATAACTAATTGACAAAAGGGAAAAAAACAGTGTTACCTATAAATGATTTCCTGCATTATTATTATTGATTTATTTTTATATAGGTTGATCATAATTGAAGAGTTTAATGGAAAAATAAGTTAAGGAGTTAGACCATAAGTAGCTACATAAAAAAAGCATTTTTAGGAATTATTTTCAACAAAAAAATGGAACAAATCAAAATTCTGAAAAAGTTTTTTTATTACATGAATAGTGAATATGTTCACAATTCATATAACAAAATATTTCCAAATCATAAGTTGACAAATGATTCCAAAATAAATTTTTGGGAGAAATACAAAACAAAATGGTGGCTGAAAACTTTATCGCTTAGAAAATTTTTTAAAAAGTAGATAACCGGAACAATAGCATTTATACTTTTTATGGTGTTAACAAGTTAGTGAGGCAGGATGTTATGTTAAGATAAAAACAATTTTTCCTTTCTTGATTATGCACATGAATAGAAAAGTACAAAGAATTTCTTTAACACAATGTTTGCAAGAATACAACTTTTCTGTTTAAGCCCTTAACGATCAGTTAATTTTCAAGAAATACACAATTTTTTGTGTGATAAATTTCAAAACATAAAATACAGAGTACGTAGCATGAAATATAAATAGACGTATTTGATTAGTGCTGACATCTAGTTTAAAATAAACTAACTATCTACAATTACCTTAAAAATATCCTGGTACTGCCATTTGGTGTGTAAAATGAGAAATAAAATGTTTTCCCGGCAAAAGAAATGAATTAATTTTATTCTTATTGGCACATTACTTCTGAACACTCCAGCCCGGAAATATCATGGGAGCAAGAAGTAGAGGGCGAAACCTAACCCCGTTATTTTCACAAGAACAAGAAAAGGTTAGTCAAGTACTTAAAAAAACAGCAACATTGTTTTGAACATTAATAGTGTTTATTTACTGTGTTATGCAATTTTTTTTTAGTTTCTTAATTCAGATATGAAGTAAATTTGCATAAAAATAAAAAAAAAGTTATTTGAGGTTTTATAAATATACATATGTATATACAGTCACTTCACAATATCATGATCATTGATAACATAATATTTTAGTACCATGTAAAATTTCAAATTGTACGATGTTGCTAATAAAGAAAATATCTTTCAACAGAACAAATTTTATGGTAACTTTTGATTTTACAAAGGATTTTTGATCATTAAATTTGATTTTCCTAATTTCTGAAGAAGTAAATATGTTTTCTAAAATTTCAATTTTCAAAATATTTTCTTGAATTATTTTATGAATCACTTCTCAAAACCCTAATAAAAAAGAGTTTATCATTTTTGAAAAGAGCTCAATCATTTGTTTCTGAATAAGAAAACATACAAGATCAAATTGGAAGTCATTAAGGAGAAATCTTCAGAGGAAGGCATTAGCCCACATTGGGCTGTCTGGCCAACTATGATGATGAGACATACAAGATATGTTTATAGATAAAGATATCCACTCTGAAAGAATTTGCTAAATTTAATTAATCCAAAACAAACAGTTATTCATAAGGAAATAGTTACTGTAAACAATAAAGTTTCAGCTTGATGTGATCATGAAGAATAAGAAATAATAAAAGATTACAGCACCTGGAGAGGCGTCAGAAAATGTGGATGATTAAACAAAAGAACTTCATCAAAATGTAAAAGCATAGTTATGCACATTATACAACTTTTAAATGTCAATACAGTTGCCATTTTGATAGAATTTTTTTTAAAAAAAACTTTCAATATTCAATTAAAATATTTAATTTTCAGTGACTCAAATTTTCGATGTCCTAAATTTTTAAAGTTTTCCTTCATGTTCGTAATAATGAGGCTCGGCTATATATATATAGTCAAACCCCGTTAATGTCAACTCGAAGGGGAACAAAAAAAAATTTCATGTTATCAGTTCAGAAATTTTTTTGGTGAAAATCTTATAATACACAAATATTTTCTGTTATCTATTTGCATTTTCTTATCTTAAATTTCTATTATAAATAGATCAATATAGATTTCATTTCAACAAATATTTAAGTTTCACACTGAGGTGTATAGAAGTTATTAATTAATAACTTCTATACACCTCAAAATAAATGCAATTAATTACTTTAAAAGATAAAATAAAGTTATAAAGTAAGAAAAAATATAGTTCAGACAAAATTAAAATAATTAACTTATTTTTGGAGCTCAATTCTTAAAAATTCATTTATACGAAATAAAAATTGCTGAAAAGTAATTAACTAATAGGAGTAATCTGATTTATTGTACAAGTTACAGAGGATTATAACAAAATCGGTAATAGCTTGCTGTTTTAGTTTCTTGTTTGCATACGCTTCCAATAAATCTTATAATTTATCAACTGTCTAAAAACTGATGCAAATTTTTATTTTACATTACCAAAGAACAAATAGTTTAATTGCTTTTTCCATCAGAGAAAAGTAAACCAAATGACTTGTGAAATTTAAGAAAAATTTTAGCTTCACAAGTCTTTGTTCCCAGAAATACAATTCAGCAATATCAATTTCTTAGAACAACTTATGAAAGTGTAGGGGAAATTATCATCTCAAAAATAAGATGTTTAAGAAAATAAATAAATAAAACAAAAACTGCCAATATTTTTTAAATAAGAAACTTTATAAACATGTTTACTTAGTAATAATTATGAAAGAATTTTTTTACATAAAGAAATATTTTCAAACTAAAATATTTTTTAAAAAAGTACACATTAATAAAACATTTTAAGCAATAATAAATCGATAATTATTTAGACAATTAAATGACTGAAATACTTTTTTTCTAAGAATTAAAATTAATTTTCGTAATAAACTAAAAAAAATGAAATACATAATAGTAATACACAATCAATAATAAATGAAAAAAATGTTCAATCCCATTATTTTACCACCCTATTTTGTAAATATCCAAGTATTTTGAATTTTAATAGAATTGTATGCTTCAGAAATTAGATAAAAATGAGGAAACCTTCCCAAAAGAAATCTGCATCAACTGAATACACTTCACTAACATAAAAACATAATATATAAATCTTTCTTAAGAAAGCATACCTTTAACGCAGATATTGGAATTGCTTGCACTTCTCCTCCAAGCTCTTCCACTTGTATGCCGCAGCCAAGAAGATCTTGCATCACTCTTTTCTGGAAAAAAAATTCAAAAATACAAATAAATAGAACACGTCATGATATTCTATTTTATTTTATAATCATGGTTGAACAGCCAATCCAATTTTTTTGATTTACAACTACTAATGTTCAACTCCATAGCCTTGTAATTTTAAACCCAAACCAGAAGACAAGGGAACTCCTGGATCAAGCATTGGGAAAAATGTGCCTTCGTGGAGGGCTTTTTGATGGAAGTAACCCNTATCTGCCCGAAAAGCAAATTATATTTCCGAAGTAATATTACAAAATAACGCGAATTAATTAGAAAATAACGCAAAAACTTGAAGAAAAAAAACATTATTTTGTGCAAAAAGGGACAGGTTTTTTCGAGAGAAAAAACATCAAAGAAGACAACAAGCTAATTACCACGCGGAACTTTTTGGAACTAAGTTTCGAAAGTCATTGAAACATTGTAAAATGTCAAATGATAAGATATAAACTATAAGTTTGTCAAGAGTATTAACTAATCCAACAAACTGAAAAAGTGTACTACAATTTCAGACTAATTACTTTGATAAAAATGTAACAGTAATGTGAAATTCCTATATATATTTCTGAAATAAAAATGTAAAAGTTAAATTTAAAAAAAATTTTTAAACATATTTTTCATTACATTGTACTCTTGTGGGTCCAAAAAGTAAATTATAATGTTTGGAATGATTATGAATACTTAATTTGGGCTATATTAAAACTGCTTACACACATTTTAGTTGAAAATTTAATTTTTGACTTTAAGCCAAAGATCATGGTCTTCTGGCCCACAGTGCCATGGTTGAACAGCCGACCCAATTTTTTTGTTTTACGACTACTAATTTTCAATTCCACAGCCTTGTAATTTTGAACCCAAACAAGAAGACAAGGGAACTCCTGGATCAAGCATTGGGAGAAATGTGTCTTTGTGGAGGGCTTTTTGATGGAACTAACCCGCATTTGTGTTACCTGGAGAGGAAGACCACAAGAACCTCTCACGGTTAGCCTGATGGCAAGGGGACTCTAACCCATGATCCGTCTATACTGAGGACATTTCAAATCAGTACTGTGGTTGGTGCAAGCTGGATGCGGAATTCGTATCGACCAGCCATTGCTGGGATTCGAACCCGGTTCACCTTATAGGACGGCGAATGCTCTATCCCCTGAGCCATCGCGGTTCATTGAGACCATACAACCCAGATCGTGGCTACCCCCAGATGCAAATGTGGAAAAAAAATTACCTGTTTACCCTGTACATATTGTACACAATATATCAAGAGGAAACACAATCACTGTGCTCTTGCATGAGCTGTATTGGGCTAATTATACTAGCTATAATTGCTAAAAAAACTTAAGGAAAAAGGAACAGCTGAACATACTTAAAATAAATAATGCTATAGTAAATAAACTAGTTTAATATAGTTATAATATCATTCTTAAATATTCCATAGATTGTATTTCAAGTGGTTACCATTTTTTTAAAAGACAAAAATAAGAAACAAAATTCCTTGTATTTTCACAGTTTCTAATGAAAAATTTCCCTGTTATTTTAGATGATTTTTTAATTCCCTGTGGATGTCAACCCTGTAAGAGTACCAGATGATGACTACTTTGATTTGCAAATTTTGTATATAGAAGTGAGTTCAGTGTTAACAAGGAAATGTTATTATGAACATGTACAACTATTATGAATATTATTATGTATTATGAATTTGCATAAATAAACTAAAATAGAAATTTTCAGATATCAAATTAATAAATAAAAAAATTATAATTTTAAAATTCGAATGACAGTTATTCTATTAATGTGATACTGTAGTAGTAAAACCTTTTGTTTGCTGAATTAATGTTAACTTTTGAGGTGAATAAAATATTTAATTTCCTGTAGCCAGAAATGCAAAAATTGGTCGACAGTTCCGCAATTATAAAATAAAATATGGTAATGCAGTCAATTGGTATTAGAAATTTAGTCTGAATAAAAAAATTTAAAAATTAAATAAAGCACAGAAAATATTACTATTTCAGTAATAAATTGTTATTGCTGTACCGATAAGGAAAAGTACAGCAATAACCATTTGCTGCAACAAAAAAAAACTTTTTTACAAAGAGGTTTCAATCAGAATGCTTTTTATGATTATTGAGAGAGATTTACTTACATCCCTAATTTTAGCAATTAAATAAAAATAGCAAAACAATACTTACCACATCGTGGTTGGCTTTGTCAATTTTATTAACTGCAACAATAATTGGCACTAAAATATCAATAGAAAAGCGTATAAGAACCAGAAAATACAATAATGATATAAACAGATTTAGCACACAAAAGAAATTTCAAAAGTGTTAATTTTTTCTTTCTTTTTTAATCTCAGATAATAAAAAAACTTATTACATTTATGTGAAGAAACATATTAGAAAATAAAATAAAAAAAGCATATCATATTCTTAAATTAATAAATTATATTCCTTAAGTAAGAATCAAATATAAAAGCAAACAGTTTTTATTTTCTATCACAAGAAAATTCTGTTGAAAAAAGTGTAAAAGTTAGCATCTATGTCATCAAATAAAACATGTCTAATAAGCTACTTTTTACTAAATGCAGATAATGCCAGTATTACAATAAGAGTTCTTAAATTAATAAATTCTATTCATTAAAGTAAGAATCAAATTTGAGAGCAAACAGTTTTCTTTTTCTATCACAAGAAAATTCTGTTGCAAAAAGTGTAAAAGTGAGCAACTATGTCATCAAATAAAAGATGTCTGATAATCTACGCTTTACTGAATAAATTATAGAACTGGAGAATATTTCTTTTGTTACTAATTTTATCAAAAAGAAGTATAACAAGAGTATACAAGCACAAATTTTTATAAAGTTTCAAATGAAAATGAATCTTTAATATTAAATTTTGCTATTCAAAAAAGTTAACTTTTAAAACAATAATGCAAACAATTAAATCATATTTTTATAAAAAATAACTATAAAAAAATCTACATTTATATTATCTGACTTAAGTTTTAAAATTTTAAGAATATTTTATTGAACTAAGCTGAGTATTTTAAGAAGTAGCCATTTTTTAAAATAGAAAAGTTGTTAAAAGAACGAGTTATAGAAGTAGGAGCTTTATCCAGCAATCTTAAAAGTATTTATTCAAGATAATTACAATTCTTAAGATGAATAAAAAAAAATTTTCAGACTTCTAAATTTTTTTGCTAAGGAGATTTAAAGCTCTTGAAATAGATAATGCCAGTGTTACAATAAAAGTTCTTAAATTAATAAATTATATTCATTAAAGTAAGAAATAAATATGAAAGCAAATAAAAAAGTTGTTAAAAGAACAAGTTATAGAAGTAGGAGTTTTTTCAGCAATTTTAATAGGATTGCTTCTGAAGGTTTAAGATTGAAAAAATTTAATACCAGCCGGGATCATTTAAAGCCTGAGTATCTGAGTAAAGTATCTGGACAAAGGCAAAATTTTACGATTTCGCAAAAAGAAAATCAAACATAAAAGTCATTTGACAATTAGTATTAATCTCCCAAATCAAAAGCTCTGAACAGAAGTAACAGATCACTGTACTTTTTTTATACCTATTAAATTTTACATTTTTTATACTTAAAAACTAAAACAAACATTTAAAAAAAACAGTAAAAAAGTTCATGAAAATTTTATCATGAGCAGGAGCCGGTCTAGGTAATACCTTTTCCAGTAAATGAGCCCAATTCGGACTTATGCTATCTCACCTCTCATGCCACATATGATTGTCATTCCAGATTAGGAGGTCTAAGCCATGTATTCTATCAAACAACATGTTTTAGTGGGACTGAAATATCACAGATCTACTGCATTTGTAGTCCTTTCAAGTATTCTGTACAGAGTACAACGTAAATCTAAATTCTAAAATTTCTGCATAAAATTGACAGAGTAATTGACATCTGTAAAATTGACATCTGTACAGAGTACAACGTAAATCTAAATTCTAAAATTTCTGCATAAAATTTTACATCTTTTATAATAGATATACTGTTTGTTTCATTCCTTCATCTCTAGTTTCAAAGATTTTTAATTAAAATATCCATTATTAATAAATATCTAATATATAAATATATGCTAATAAATAAATTATATGTATATAAATATATATAGAGAGAGCAAAATAAATAAATACAAAAAAACACGAAGAAAATTAAGAAAAACAATAAGTTTCATTTGTTGCGCATAAGCTGCAAGTAAATAGAATTCATAAAATAAATTCAAAATGAAGATAAAACAAAGGAAAATTACAAACATATAAAAAAGGGGGGAAAAGAAAAATAATGATAAAAAAAATAACAAACAACTGGGGGGGGGGGAATAATCCGGGGAAAAAAAATCACAATTTTTTTTTAAAAAATCCGAAAAATAATAGATATAATCTTTTCATCAGCCCACACAATATATCTGCTCTGCAATATATCTGCTTTGGCTATATTGATACAATATTAGTAAGCACTCTTTTTGGGGGATATAATCGTGTGGGCTGATGAAAAGATTACATCTTTTATTTTCTTGATTTTTTTAAAAAATTTCATCTTTTTATTTTAGATTATTTTTTCCCCCCAGTTGTTTGTTATTTTTTTTATTATTATTTTTCCCCCTATTATCACATGTCTGTAATTTTCCTTTGTTTTATCTTCATTTTGAACTTATATATATATACAGTAGGGAACTAATTATCCGGAACGATCGGGGCCATCGCTATTCCGGATAACTGATTTTTCCAGTTTTCTGAATCGCTGCAAAAAGCCATTTTTTTATTGTTAAACCCAACTAAAAAAAAAAAAAAAAATATTTGGAAATAATCTTAAAAAGAATAAAAACGAAGTAATACACTAATGATTATTTCCAAAATGATGGTAAGGTAAACATCTTTCAAAAAAGAAAGAAAAATCCTAAAATCTTATGAGGAAAAAAAAAAATTTTTTTTCTTAAAAAAAATTGTGGGAAAAATTTATGGAATTTTGTTCCGGTTTTTTGGTTTTCCGGTTTTCTGATTTCCGGATAACAGGTTCTGTAATGTACAATAAAAACATAGAGAAAACATGGAAAAAATTAAAGATTAATGAAAAGAATAGAAGAAAAAAAATTTGTTAAAAAAAAATTCTTTTTCTACTTTTATTTTCATTAATCTTTAATTTTTTCAATGTTTCCTCTATGTTTTTAACTTATTTTATGAGTTCTACATACTTGCAGCTTATCAGTATTAAATAAAACTTTTTAGTGTTCTTAATTTTCTTCATTTTTTTTATCCTNATATATATATATAACATGAAAATCATAAATTACTAAATTATTCAAATTATTCAAGATCAACAAGCACTTTATTTACATTAATTAAAAGTCCAGATGTAATTCTAAAAGCAGAAGAACAAAGGGTTCTAATTTCATGACATATTTCAAGACATGTTCTAATTTCTTGAGAAGTTAAATTTCAAAATCTTGAAAAAGAACTGAATGACTGGCTAAAGTTTATGCGCAATATTAAGAGATGTTAATTTTTAACTTTTATGTACTATTTTAAATAATACTTGGACTTTATTGAGAGAAAAACTGTGGATTTGTCAAAACATGTTTTTTCAAAAAATAAGTCCAAAATATAAGTAAATACTTTCACCATTTCTGTTCTGACCATTATATTAAGTGTTGATTGCATATAAAAATTATATATGCAGTCGCAATGCATATAAAAGATTCAGATAAGACACATTATTTGACATCCATTCCTATGATAACATAAAATAAACACAAAATTTTGTTAGGAAACATATTCATACAAAGTTACCATTTGCTTCACGGGCATATCTAATAGATTCTATAGTTTGTTCCATTATGCCATCATCTGCAGCAACAACAAGTATAACAAAGTCTGTGACTCGAGCACCTCTGGCTCTCATTGTCTTAAAAGCAGCATGCCCTGGCGTATCTAAAAAGGTTATCCTGCCCCCAGGTAGATCAACTGTTAAAAGAAAGAATGGCTTTTAAATATAAACAGTAGTTTTAAATAAACTAAATATCAAATTAGCAAGCAAATTAGAAGCAAATTAAATTAATTATTGCAACAGTAGTTTTAAATAAACTAAATATCAAATTAGCAAGCAAATTAGAAGCAAATTAATTATCTATTAAGCAAAATAATTATTTTTATAAGTATTTTTATAAGTTTATGTATTGAAATTAACTAGAAGTTTTTTCAATTCAGAAATGATTATAAATACCAAGTACCATAAAATGTTTTAAAAGAAAATATATACCTGTGAATGCACCAATATGTTGAGTGATTCCACCAAACTCTTTAGAAACAATGGAGGAATGGCGGAGTGAATCTAGTAGAGTAGTTTTACCGTGATCTACGTGACCCATTATAGCTACCACAGGAGGTCGCTTCACTAAATCTTCAGGATGAGGAGGTGGCCTGAATTTAGAATTCATGTCTGTTACAATCAACAAACCAAATTTTTATTCGTCAAGCTTATAATATATAGCATCCTTGCAAGAAAAGTGACACAAGTCAAAAAACAGTAATTTTGAGGTTATGTCAATAAAAAATATGTATGAAGTGCCCCATCAAGCTCAAAAAGTGACACATTTCTAACTCGCAATTTATCCAGCTGAGAGCAGTTGTGTTAGTTTGAGTCAAATTCAGAATAAAGGTTATCTTATTTGTAAAGGTTATCAGATTTTTCTCAAATGCTGCATTTTAGAGTCATGACACTTTTCTTGACGTGGTACGATATGCGTCATTATTTAACATTTGACTAGCAACATAAAAATTAAAACTTGATTAATTATAAGGGGAAAAAAATACTGACTCAGTTAAAAAATTTCTCAGAATAATATAACTAAAAAGGTACAGAATGCATTAAATATTTTATTACTTGTATTTTTATTGTGTAAAAAAATACAGGCATTTCAAAATGTGAGAATAAAATGCCCTGTATGCAACACAATTATTTAGCTGCCACTTATTAGAACCTAAAAAATGATTTTAATGATTATTAATAATTAAATAATAATTAATGATTCAAAAAAGGATGATTTGTGATGAAAAGATCAGCAAATAAATTAAGAGTCAAATCTAAAATTCAGGAAGTGGTAAATTTCTGTAATCATGTTTTTGACAATTTCGGACTGTCCCTATCCTCTTGTCAGTAAAAATAAGTAAATCACAAACCCATACTTACGCAAGAAAGTCGCAACAGACACAGATTAGTGAGATATACAAAATAAATCAAGTTATTTTTATCAATTAGTTAACTCGACAAGAATTAATTTTGCACTACTTATGAGTGAAAAAACTTCATTTCTCCAAAATTACTTAAGGTAGATAAAGTATGTACGTTTCAAGCACTCGAAATAAAGCTTTCATACAAAGACAAATCACACGAGAGTCTGATCATGTGTGACGCCCTGTGGCAGAATCGCAGCGATAGGGCAGAACATTTCAGAGTTCTTGCAGAAAGATTTTTCTTCTGAAAAGCAAACAATTTTACTTTTCTTCTCCACAGAAATTCACACATAATATTTGTATCATGCATTTAGATAATCACTTTTTGGAAGACCTCAATTTATGCCGATAGTGTCATAAATCGATGTAATGTTTCAATTGTATTTTTGGCAATTATTGATATTGATTTTGACATGGTTTTTAAATATCCCGATATATTTCAAACAATATGGAAAATTTTATTCGTGCATTTGAGTATTTACTTTTTAAGGCAGTAATTCTATCAAATTTTGGGCAGTTATTGCTACTGATTTCTCCATAGTTATTAAGTCTGATATTTCTTATACAATATTATTTAATACAACAACCTAGTCTTGAAACGAAATTTGAGGAGTCTGATTTGTGTGATTTTGTCGTTGATCCTTTTTTTTGGCAATTACTACTACTGATTTCATGATTTTTAATTATTTTTTGTTGTGATGATTATTTACAAAATGCAAAGAAGGAAATAATTTGTGTGTTCCTCCCCCCCCCCCAAANAAATGAAACAAACCCCCCCCAACAAAATGCACTAATATCAACCATAATATTAGAAGAAAAAATTATTACATGCTCAATTAAAAAAAAAAATTATTATAGTTTTTTCTTGGTAAACACAGCTCTTTTGTTATTTCAAATTAGCAACATATATGTTTGTTACTATTAAAAGTACCTTGCAAAAAGATATTAGTGCTATAATTATTTATTTTTTTTTTTTTGCAGGTAGCTCGAAAAATTTTGCCACAAGGGCGTGGCAGTTTCTCAGGAAAAATGCTTGAAACGTATATATATATTTATATTTAAGTAATATTGATGCAAATGTGAGTTGTGGAGGTAGTATTTTGTAGATGCATTGCTTAGGTACAAGAAAATAAAGCACTGGTTTTTTAATCTTATTTAAAAAGGATCTGGTTATCAGCTTAAGTTTGGCAGAGCAAGAATTAAAGAAAATTTATAATCTAATAGAAAAACAAATACCTTTTGGTTACATCTTTATTTTTCTTCTCTTCAGCAACTGATCCAGGTGGTTTTACAAGCTGGACTCTAAAGCCTAATCGTTTTGCTATAGCAGTTATAGTGGCAAAATCTGTTATCTCTGAAAAAATTAGCAAATGGTCATTCCTGATATTTTGTTTAAAGAATTTTCTACATTAAATAAGTACACTTTACTTCACTTTACCTTAACTTGACACTGCGTAATACCCTGACAAAAGTGTAGTTCAGCTGATTATGTAATTAAACTATTGAAATATACATTCAGAAATTAAAATCATTTGCAACAACTACAAAAAAAAAAAAAAAAAAANATTAAAATCATTTGCAACAACTAAAAAAAAAAAAAAAACAAAAAAAAAAACAAAAAAAAACAGACAAATAAATCTAGCTGCAACAGTTTATAGGGTGCTGAAATTAATGACAAAAAAAAATTAAATATTGTTCAACTTTATAATGCTTGCTTAAATTGTTATTAATTTAACGATAAATACTGGAATCACTTTTAGTTTAATGCTTAGTTTATCTAGAAAACTTAACATTTTGATTAAAATACAAAACAAAGGTACAAATTAAGGAAATTTAGTCACTGGTGTATAAAACCTATAACTCAAAAATATAACTATAATGTAAACCAGACACATTTTCCCTGGCTTGTTTACTGAACTAAAATGAAAAATAATAATGATAAGAATGTGAAATGTTCACAATTAAGACAATAATGTATTTTGAAACAACACAGACCAAAATAAGAAATTAGAAACCAAAAAATCAAAATAGCTTACCATATATAACAATATATTTCCAAATAAAAGCCCTTCTAGGCATAAGCCGAAGAGTACGCTTTTTATTCAGAAATTCATGCAAAATTGAAAACTCCTACATAAGCAGACATGAAGAAAAACGAGGCATACTATGCTTGGAAATAAAAATGGTAAATCTAGTAACGGTTGCACAGTGGGTAAAAGAAGCATGGACCTTCCAAATTCGTAATTAGAAAACTTTAAAAAAAATATCCTTTTCACATTTTTTTATGCATTTCTTTTTCAATTTTTATATTTAGGCAGTCCGTTTTCAATTATTATTTTTATGCTTTGTTTGTAAGTTTTGCAATATTTACTGATTATGGCTAATGCTCAGCAAAAGTAGAAACATTTCTTTTGGCGATAACCTCCTGGAATTTTTTTTAATTAGGGGATCTGATTACAAACCGATCTCCCAACTTTAGATTTTGAAAATTTTCCAAAAAAATTATCGGCTTATAATAAGAAATATACTGTGCCATTCCTTTACATTGATCACTGATTCAAGAGACCACTAATAATTATTTTATGCTGATCTGAGTCAAACTTTAGTGGCTGTCCATTGTTAATTTTGAGTCTTATTTTAATGTTCAAGACAGAAAGTAAATGGAATATTATTGCAAAGTTTGCTGTAAATAGTTAACTGAAATTTGATCCTTAATGATAATAATAATTCACAATTTAAAACTTTTAACTGTATCATTTCGCTGCAACAATTTCTTTACTTTAAAATTTTGCAAATCAAAGAAAATTAGCTTCTTAATGAAGTATATTATCAAAACTTGTATTTTCAATTGAATTGCATTTTAAAAATTAACAATTTATTTTTATTAATGAATCTATTCGTTTGCTAATAATTAATCTTATAAATTTTTTAATACAAATAAGCCTAAAACTTATTTTGACAGAGGTAGCAAAACAATATGTTGAAAAAATAAGTCACATAGGTTTTTCTTTTAGTTATTTAAAAAGTTTTTTTTTAAAAAATAATTCGAAAGTTAAGACATTGGGTTTAGGTCTGCACAGTTTAATAAGTTTTTCCCCATGAACTACAAGACATGCCAGTAATTGAAATATCCATTCCTTCAATAACAGTTTGCTTGAAGAGTTGAGTAGAAGCTATGTTAAATGGGAATTTGAAAACATTCGTTCTTTCTAGTTTTAATAAGTAAATGATAATAAATTATAACACTTTAATAGTTTTTGAAAAGAAATGTTATTTACCTGAATCAACCTCCTGATAGAGCTCATAAGTTTCAAGGTAAGAAATAGCTTCAAATACATCGTCTAAAAATAAAAAGCAAATAAATTAATAAGACGAAATATTTATGTTGGTAATCAACTTCAAATTATGCGTAAAATTTTGAAAATGAATATTGAGAAGAAAACAGTTTCGCTTTGTACATTTAATATAATTTATATTAACCTTTTTTGTTAGCATGTCTACTTGTTAAAGGGCATTCACTTTTGAGGATTATCTTTGTGCGGCTGTCAGATTAATACTCTACCATATTATTGTCTTTGTTTTGATTATATTTTGATATGTTAAGGTTGAGAATTTTCTATTCTTAAGGAGAATTGATTACACTACAAAGGCTTTTGAAAGTTACTTTGTAATTTAAAACAAGGAGTGTACAAATTAAAATTGTAAAATAAACTGTATGGTGTTATTTTGTTTTGATATATTTTGGTATGTTAGGTTGAGAATTTTGTATTCTTAAAGATAATTGCTTACACTATAAATGCTTCTCAGAGTTACTTGTAATTTAAAACAAGAAGTGTACATATTAGAATTGTAAAATAAACTGTACAGTACAGTGTAAGCTGCTTTTTATTGAACAATAGAGAACACTAAGTATAATCTGAGTGAAATACTTCTGGGAACCAAAACCGGACTAGTAGACCACCTATGATTTCAGACAATGAACTATGGATACAGTATCAATAATTCTTACCTATATCTCTTTGAGTAACATCAGCAATGTCGAGGGGTGTAACTCCTTTCCATAATTCCACAACAGTCTGTTTTGATTTAGGTTTGAACTGAATAACATTTTTAGCTTTCTGAAAACGATGAATTTTAATCAGTCTACAGGGTGTAAAAAAAAGTTTGGAAAATCTAAAAATTGATCAGACATGTCTATGAAAAGTCTGTTTTTTATTTTATAAATTGAGGTGAAATATTTTATAAAAATGATAAAATTGTTTTTTAAAAAAAGAGTTTATTTGCTGCTAATTCTAGAAATAATTTTTTCTTTTTAAAATGAAACAAATAAAATAATATAAACTTATTTATACTCATAATGTGATTTGTAAATTTCTTATCAAATCTTCAAAAGGGAATTCAAGATTAAACAGAAATTTTTCATAATAAAAAATGTGCTTGGATTTAAAACTTTTTTATGGATGTTATTTAATCTGTTGACCTTCTTTTCTTGAAGTTATTTAAAATAAAAGTTAATTATACAGTTTAGATAATATAATTATTAATGCAAAATTTTAAATGCCTCATGTCTTTTTCAAGTAACAAGAGTGCACATTTTTTAAATTTACTATTTTATAAAACTATTAAAATTTATCAATTTTTTGTTACATGAATATGAAAGGTATATATTCTTCTTCGTTCACTGGAAAATGAAATTGGAAAATTGCTCCATTTAAAATAAAGAGATCATGAGTAAAAGCAAACCATGGAATTGTCAAAAATAACTGAGAAATATTAACAAGAAATAGCAATTTAATAAACAGCCTTTTCTTTTGTTATTTTTTCTCCATAAAATTTCATGGAAAATTTTCAAAAATTATATACGAATATTCTGATCATAGAAGTCCGGTGAATTTACGCATGCTAAATTTATAACATACTTTAATAGGCAAACAAAATTTAATTAATAATCTCAAATTATTTTATTATTACATTTCTATTTATTTAAAAAACTTGTCAACTAAATTTTATTTTATATTTTATTTTATAACCGTCGTTGAACAGCCGACCCAATTTCATGGGTTTACGACTACTTACGTTCAACTCCGTAGCCTTGTAATTTTGAACCAATCCAGAAGACAAGGAAACTCCTGGATCAGTACCCCCAGAGGTATTGATTTGTTGTGGGAACATGGAGGACTTTGAGACTCGACAGAATTAACGTGCATCAGTCACCATTTACTACACGGGGAGTCTTCGGCCGGCGAGGATCGAACCCTGTCAACTAAATTGACAAAAGGTGACTAACAACTTTGGCATTGCATTACAAATTATATTTAGCATAAATTTTAGAAATCTCTTCACACAAAAACATTTGCACACAAGATAAAATATTATTATTCTCTTTTCAAAATAAATAAAAAATAAAAATGCTTTTTGGCTACATTACATTTCTTTTTTTTTTTTAATATTTCTAAGCAATTTCTATTAAAATTTGTTAGATTGCAGACTTTATGACAGGCTGCTCACTAACTTTTTTTTAATGTTTGAACTGTAAAAAATGCCTTCAAACATTATATCTTACACAATATTTTAAGCATTTTTATTTCTATTGAAGTTTTCTAGGTTTCAGATTTTTTGACAGTCTGTTTACTTACTTTTTCACCTCCTTTTGCTTTGTTTAATGTAGATGATGTGAAATATGTCTGGTGACTGGGATAATGTGATGGGTAAGAAATAATAAGTTTTGAAAATATACTGTACAGTGAATGGTCGGACAATGTTTTGCCATGAAAAACATTTTTGACCAAAAGTAAAGGAATCAACCTTCTCATTTTAACCTTTCTCTGTCATCTGAAAAAAGAGGAAAGAAATTTTCAAGACCCAAAAATATAATCATGCAGGAAAACAATAAAAATTAAATTAACAATTAATGAGTAGATTTTTTCAATATATAGCAGGTTGCAAAAAAATCTTATTTTAGGGTAATATTCCATTTTGAAGGGTCAAACTATTATTGATGCTTAATTTATTACAATAATGGTTAATACAGAAATAAACGGAATTTTAATAAAAAGCTATATGTATACAGATATGCAAAATATACATGAAAGCAAACCACGAGAAAATTGGTCACAATCGTGGCATATGTTTTTGCCTTAGGTATTCATCATAAAAAGAGTCAAAATTCTGCCTGACTTTAAAAAAATTTCTAAAAAACCATTCCAGATTAATTATTGAAAACCCAGTAATGGAAAATGAAAATATTAATTTTATTCTAAAACACAAAGGTTCAAAAAGAAATTAGAGCAGTGTAATGATTTTGTGCAGGAAAAACTGAAATGGGTTCTTTTATTAGTGCATTTTATAACAATAAAATATAAACTTCATGTATTGAAATATTTACCATTACTTTAGTCTACTGTGCCTTAAATTATCTAACCATTATAAAAACATGTATAATTAGAAATCACAAATAATGTACTAATGTATTATCAAAAAAATTTGAGACACTAATTCACAATACAATTGAAGCTGTTGCTATTACAAGATATAATACATAATGCTTTTAGAATCCTAACTCAATGAAATAAGATAATAATTCATAAAAATATTTTTTAACTATTAGTTTCCCACACCTGTAATTCTTGTTACATACAGTTTCAAATTATTTTCTTAAAATGCAGCTAAATAAACGCAAATTAATGATATTTATTGTTGCAGCAAGAGTTACTATAAGACTAAAGAATAAAAAAAATGATGAATAAAACTAAATTAATTTTTAAAGAACTGAATAAAAGCCTAAACAAATTTAATAAAGCCCTGAAAAAAAAACGAAAAAAAGCCCAGTGGGTAGGGTTTCTCCGGAAAAAAAACAGGATTTTTACAAGCCTGAATTAGAAAACATAGCAGATTATTTAATAGAACCAAAGTCCTCATTAAAAATAAAAAGATGTTGATCTGGTAGATACGTCATATTTTGAATCCTGCATCCCCATTCTGTACAAAAATTCTAAATTTAAAGTCATATAAACTCATATGTATAGTAATCAGTACAGAGCTTCAAAAAAAAAACTAGAGCACTTTCAAAAAATCAGTGATCATTTTCAAACAAATTTTGTCAGGATGTCAAGTTACAAGAAACAGTAAATTACTCATGGGATGTTTTTTGATAATAGTTTACAACAGGGAGCCCTTCTTAGCAATTTGAAAATCTATCAACTTTGGTGATTTGAAAATAAACCAATATATATGAAAAAAACAAAAAAGGAAAAAAAACAATCACATAATGGCTATTAAAAACTGCTGTAACCCAAAGGTGATACCATTGAAAGCAAAAATAATCATGGTAACCGGAAACGGTGTTTCAACAAAACTGAACGAAAATTATACCAAACTATGGAGCCCCGATTCTACAACTTAATCAGGATTTTAATTGAATTTTTGCATTTGCAGAAAGCTTTTCATTTTATAGAAGTTTGTATGTAAATAACATAAAATAAGAGGGGAAATATATTTAACCTTTTAACTTAAAAATAATCTTACAAAAAAAAAAGAGAATAGCCTAACTTGTCACAGGCTTTTAAGTTAAGGAGCTAATGTAAGCATCTGAACACGCCAAGAATTTCTTCTTATATATATATGAACTATTATTAGATTAATAATCAGAAACTTTTAAAGTATCCATAAATCCGAGGATAAAAGTAAAAATTAATGCATATTCACGTTTATAAGATTATGGCGAACTTTTCAGTAAAACGATTTAGTTTTTTATTTGAGGTGTACCGATTAGTTCATACCGATAATTTCAAAATGAAAACGAGAATATTCAATCACAAGCATAAGTTTTATAAAGGTTTTTAATATCATACGAACCACAAATATAAAAGTAAAGTTTCTAATTTCTATTCATTTTATATATCACAGCTAAAACCGGTGAAACTTAAAGAGATTCCCACAGTTAAAAGTTGATAATGAATATCCATTGAAGCTTTTATCTGCATACTGAAAATTTAGCTTATAGCTTTCATGCACTCAAATAATTAGGTTTGTTTTTAAAATACAAAGCTGTAAGCTAGTCTTATTATTCGCAGAAACTTTTGAAATAACTTATCTCACATCCACTGCGAATACGAAACTAAATATTTAGCGTTAGAATTTAAAGCTTTTTTCATTGTAAATCTAAAGCTTTACAGCATGAGCTCATTTCATACACTCGTATTTTATTTAATGGAATAAAGTACTGAAAATAGTTTCAAAATCAGCAAGATGGACGAGAACATCAGCCGTGGATATATTCAGCTGGGATCGCAATGCAAAGATAGATTGTTATTAAAAAGAACGGGATTCAGTTCACATCCTCCGAGCGATTCTTGTCATTGTATCTATTTAGCGTTATTGCTCGCAGGTGTGGGTTTTCTCCTTCCATACAACAGTTTCATTATCGCTGTAGATTATTTCCAGTCGAAATATCCGGCCACCACAATTGTATTTGACATGAGCTTGATTTACATTTTGGTTGCATTTGTTGCCGTTATCATCAATAACGTGCTTGTAGAAACTCTCTCTCTAAATGTGCGAATAGTGTTTGGATACATAATTGCTTTCTTCACATTAACATTTGTGGCAATTTTTGAAATATGTTTTGAAATTTTCGACGATTCCCTCGGCTATTCTATTAATTTGATAGCTGTTGCTGTTGTAGCATTTGGTTGCACAGGTAAATATGCTGTTTACGGAGATTATGTGGGGATATGTATCGTGATCTGTAGCGCCAACTACAATCAGCAATTATTCTGCCACAGATCACGATACAGAAATCTCCCCGGTTATGTTATAATTTAGCCATGCATTAGCCATTTTATTACATATGTTTTTCAGTTTAATTACTGCAACTTTTTATATTATAATAGTTATTACCAATAATTTTAAAAAAATATTTTGCAAAACTAGCATTAAATTTGGTATCTTTTTGTTAGCTAGGTACAAGGATGGGTATATTTCCGTATGGCGATCTGTTGTGCCAACTACAATCGCCAAAGAGGCAAATTGATTTTAGGGGATATTTCCATATCATGATATGTCGCGCCAACTACAATCACCAAGATGCCAAATAGATTTTAAACTTGCAAATTTTTTTAAAAAAAACAAACACGAGTTGGTCCCTTTCTGTGATGTTTTATTTAGTTTCTCGTGGGCCACTGCCCGGAAGTTTCCAATACTTGGCGGTTATTCTGCCATAGATCATGTTAGGGAAATCTCCCCTGATTTTAAACTTGCAAATTTTAAAAAATAAAGGATGTCGATGTTTACCAGGAGGTGACTACAAGTTATACCTTTCGAGTCAGTGTTGTTGTTTTTTAGTTTCTCGCAGGCCGCTGCCCAGAAGTTGCTAAGACTTGGCGATTATCCTGCCACAGATCACGATATGGAAATCTCCCCACAAAAATATTTGCTGGTAGACTCAGGGTGCGGCAAAAAATCGCCATACTTTGATGACAGCTGAGCAGTTGCACATGGAAACTTGCATCACAAAGGTGGACTAATTCAAAAGATTTAACTTAAGACACTCTGGAGCAACTAAATCACTAGATATTTTTTTTTTGCATCGATTTTAATGGTTTCTGTTCTGTTTTACAAGGATTCAGAGCAGGAAAATTTATTTATTTATTTGTCTTCTTTAAAGTACAACCAAATCAATTTTGAAAATGTATTTCTTAATAATATTTTATTTTTCTGAAAATTATGCATGTTCGTATGATAATTAGTTTGTTTTTTTTTTATGAAATATTATTCAAATTAAACACAGTATTGTCAATAATCTCTCTCTTTTTCATTTGAAAGAAAAATTTTATTTTCTTATTATTATCACGAAGTTCTGTCGATTTGGTATGACTCTATCTATTTATTATTTCTTTTTTATCTTATTGTGATTTCTTTTTGTTAAACAATAAGAATTTTATGTTATTGTAAAAAATCTACAGTGTTAAAATTAATTCTTGATAAAAAAGAAGTTCTTTAAACTTTTTTTGTCGCCATAATGAAATCTAGAATATGCTACAACATGGGTTCCTCAAAGTGTACATACTGGAGCATTCAATATCTACCAAACACTTTTAGTCTATCTACAATCATGATTTATTGACCAAATTTTTATTAGATGCTTCAGAATTTGGATGTTATATCAATTTCACATTTTCAGGGCATCTAAGCAGATTTAAATTACTATAAAAATGAATTTACTTTATTTATGAAAGATTATCAGTTTCAATGAAGTAACATTAATATCAGTTATCTAATCAAAGAATGCAACTGATTTAAGCGAATTCCTAAAAAGGCAATATGAGATTTAAAATAATGATAAGTCAAAATGGAAAAATGTTAAAAGCAGCTAAAACCAAATTTGTCTTAATTTCAACAATTTAGAAAGTTGAAAACACAAATCAAGCAAAAAAAGAAGAATTTCTAAAGGTACGTATGTTAGAAAAAACAGCACTTCAACAGGGGACACGCTGTCTGCTAACATACAGGAGCCTTTCTGTTTAATTTAAGCAAATCCAGAAAAGGGCAAAGTAAGATTTAAACAGATTTAGTATCAGTTACTATGAAGTAACTTTTTGTAGCTATAAAGAGTTATTGTTTCTTAATGCAGACTCTAAGATATGAGAACCTCAATTTAACGATGCTTCTATTACTGAACAAAAACGTTGTAAACGGGACATAGCTATTTTGGAAACATGAGAGCTAAAATTTAAATGCATTCTTTAATTTTGTTATATATTTTTTTAAATTACTATATTCTATCTGAAATTCTAAATGCTCTAAGTGCAATAAGCAGTAATGTAGATGGTGCACTAAAAAAAAGAAAAGAAACCCCATTTCTTTTTTTTTCTCTTCCCAGACCTTCTTGAAAGTAAAATGACTGTAATTCCACGCGAGTAGCAGAATTGTAGCAACATTTTCGCAGATTGATATCGAGTTCTTACAGAAAGGGTTTTCATTTGGGAAGTAAAAAATTTTAGTTTTCTTTTTCAAAAAAATTTTTGAAAGATTTTATCTTGTCTGCAAAACTATATTCAAAAGGTGCCTCCTCGCGCATCTGAGTGGAAAAAAGATGCTTGTGATTTTTTTATTCTCATTTGAGAATAAAGAATAATGAAGTAAAAAATTTTGTTTCCTCTTCTACAAAAATTTCCTTTTTTGCAGTTATTATACTTTTAATTTGGACATAGTTTTTAAATCCTATATTTTTAAAACGATATTATTTATTACAATAACTGAATCTCAAAATGAAAACACTCATTTAGTAAACCCTTTTTGAAGAGTCCTATTCACGTGATTTCGCCGTCGATCTTTTTTTTCCCTTAGTTTCTGCTAAGGATTTCGGGTTTTTTTATTATTTTTTTAATGTGATGATGATTTACAAAATGCAAAAAAAGAAATAATTAGTGTGTTTTTCTCCCTCCAAAATGCGAGAATACCACCCACAATGTTAGAGTAAAAAAAATATTACGTATTCAAATAAAAAAAAAAAATTTATCCAAAAAGTTTTTTTTTTTTAGTTAAGGCTTTACTTACTTTAAATTAACAACATTTATATTTGTTATTATTAAAAGTATCTCACAGAAAGATATTATTAGTACTAGAGAAGTTTGTTGCAGAAAGCTCGAAAAAAATCTGCAGCAGCGATCCCTCATCCCTATTTAAAATGATAGTATAAAAGTAAAGGTTTGATCCAATTTCAGAGGTTTAAAATTCCATTTCATTACATAGTAGATAACAAAGTAGTATTATTATTTATTTTATTTTTTTTGTATGTGTGGTTGCTTGTCAATATTTGAAAATTATTAACTAACAGTTAGACGAAGATGAAGAAAGACGTATTTCAGGGAAATAATATCAGAGAATTCTCTAAACATTAATATTTTTATACATTATTCCTATGGAAAATCAAAGGGAGCCAAGCTGAAAAGATGTTTGAAACAGGATCATTATGCGATGGTGATGTTAAATCTGTATTCTCCTCTATGTTATTTTATTATTATTAAACATAAAAATAGTTTTGTGTGTATGAAGTCAATCAGTTGTTTGAAACAAATCAGTATTGAATTTAAGATTGCATTGAAACTGAATTGCAATTTAGATGGGGGGGGGGGTTAGAATGTTCAAATTGTTTCATAAAAATGCAGAAATGAAGTCTCACAATTTTTTCATAATAAAAAAGAACATTGAAAAATACATTTGTTTTACTGGATGCACCTAGTATTCAGTTATCAACTAATCTTAATATTTGGTTAAGTTGTATAATTTCCTAACAAGGTTTAAAATTTTAAACTATGTAATGCTAAAAACGCTAAATTATATCCTATCCCAGATATATACAAGTGTTACATATCTCTAAGAACATTGAAATTTTCTTTCTATTTCTTTTTTTTTTTTTTATTCCTTTTAATTTTTTATCAGGTTTGTATTAATACCAATTAAATTCCAAATATTAGAACAATTTTTTATTTTTATAATATAAGAAAAATGGGCAGAACCTCTCAACTGTTTCAGTTTCTGTGTAAATTTTTGCCTCAACTTTTATTACTCTCTGAAGAAAGAAGTTAGATTCTGTTAGGGGAATGTATTCGTTGGACAATAATCTTTATTTATTTCTGTATGTGTAAGGAAGAAATCTCGGTAACAAATTACCCTTCAGAACAAGTATTTTCTTAGATTTTGAACTAAGTTAAGGCAAGTTTAAGTTTTGACTATAAGCTAGGTTAATTATCTACTTTGCTACATTACGAAATTAAAAGATCATGCGTTGTCTTTTATGCTTTAGAAAAGTTTAAGGTAAATGTTCCATTTCTTTCCAATTTATAAATACAATAAATATACGACATAATTGCTTCTCTGTATAACATATTAAGGTTATTAATATTTTGCTTAGATTGTTATGAAATAATAAGATTGATGTGTTTATATGAGATTTTTTATTTTTCAGTTCAACAGTCCAGTTTTTATGGCTACACGAGTATGTTGCCCTCACGTTACACTCAGGCAGTTATGACCGGCGAAAGTAAGAGTTTACATTGTGTAATTATATGGTATTCTATATACTTAAATTCTATTTTGAATTATTATAGTATCACGACCAAAAGTTTTATTATAATGAGGTATTACTATTATTGAGGGCCAAAATTTTTTGTGGGCCGCTTGTCAAAATAATATCTTACGTATATTTTTATATCAATATTTTATTTTCATATTTTGTGGATTTTTTGAAGAGCCGGTATTAAAAATTATAGTTCTAATTGAGTTCAATTACAGAGATCTCTCTTCAGTTTTCTTTAAAAAAAAAAAAAATTAAAGAGTTATTTCTTTTGTATAAAATCTAGACTGGGCATTCAACAGTTATGGAGCAATAAAGACTTTGTGTTGTATACCTCTGATTTTTTGGTACTAAAATGCCGCGTGTCAATTGTAGCCCAAGGGTCACATTCTATTAAGAATATATTTTTATATCAATATTTTATTTTCATATTTTGTGGATTTTTTGAAGAGCCTATATTAAAAATTATAGTTCTAATTGAGTTCAATTATAGAGAACTCTCTTCAGTTTTCTTTAAAAAAAAATTTAAAAAATTAAAGAGTTATTTCTTTTGTATAAAATCTAGACTGGGCATTCAACAGTTATGGAGCAATAAACACTTTGTGTTGTATACCTCTGCCTTTTTGGCACTAAAATGCCGCGTGTCAATTGTAGCCCAAGGGTCACATTCTATTAAGAAGGGAGGATGCCATTTATAGATACTCTAATCAAATCATTAAGTGTTTCAGTTTTCAAAAAGTTAGCACACTGTCATGGTGCGTAGCGTTTTTGAAAAGGGCTTTAAGATGCTTATTTTCGTTTTTTAAAAGCCCTTAAAGGTGCTTTTTTTCATGGGGTGTTTTTAAGAATTGCTTAATTTTTCCTTTTTGAAAATAAGATTTCTTTCTTTATCATGTCTATTTTCGCTGCATATTATGCAAAAGTGTGGTTTACACACTGTTCTATTCAAGGTTTTCACAATTCATTCAATTACAATCCATTTTGCCGTATCGTCGGTCCGAAACGTATGATAACACCAATCATGTTACATATTTGATGAAATACTTGGGAGTCTGCATGTGCGACTATTGGATGAGATTCTTGCATTCTCATGTGCAACTTGGCTGCATTTGGCAAGATGCTCTCAATTTCAGGCTTCATTCCCTCTGAAATTGAGCCGCGAAATCTCTCGATCTTTTTATGGTGGCTAATATAATCAAGAAATATTTTTTCTCAGAAACTAGTTATTTTATCATGTAAAGTCTTTGAAAATTATTTTGCATTTTGTTTATGTATATAGTGCTTAGAAATATTTTTGAATGTACTTTAAAGGTGCTTATTTTTTGTTGAGAGATTTGGCAACGCACTCTGACTGTTAATAATTAATTTTTATGTTTAATACTTAAGGTTAGTAAAGAAATCTGTGACTAAATGTTTGTTTCATGTTATTCAGATTTTTTTCATTGGACGTAATATTGTGTTTCAATGTTATTAGGTGCTGCTGGACTGCTTGTATCGACCAACAGAATTCTGACAAAGCTTCTTTTAGAGAATGAGAAGCTGAATACCATTTTGTTTTTCTGCATCTCTATCGGTCTAATTGTGGTCTGCTTCGTCATCCATTTCATCTTGCAGCGCACTGAGTTTGTGAATTTCTATCTCAGTCTTTGCGTCAATGCATCAGAATCTGATGATATGCAAAAACACATAATACTGGAACCCACTGAAGATGTCAGTTTAGTGAGTTTCGAGTTTTTTTTTTCTTTTCATTTATTTTTATTTTAAATCCTTTCATTGTCAAGGTTTGTAAATATCATATTTGTAGAATAAAATAATTAAATCTATTGAATCCCATTTTCTATAAATTTAACAAAATGAAACAATAATTTGTTATTTTGGTTAAAGTATATTCAGGGTATCTGTGCACCTGGAAAGTCGTGAAAAATCATGTACAGTCAAACCTCGATATCTCGAACTTGATGGGAGAGGAGAAAAATTCCAGATACCGAAAATTCGAATTATCAAAAATCGCATGTTATCGATAATAGAGTAAAGAAAAATGCTCTTTACATGCCTTATTTACTATTCCATATTTATTCTAAAAACATTTTTTACACTTTCATTTAAAAAAAGATTCAAATTTTGTTTGCTTTAGAGATGTGTAAGAAAGTTTGTCTATAACAGTTTCTAAGTGGACTATAGCTTTGAATGACTCCTCTGACTTATTTGGCTGCCTCTCAGTAAATCTCCTTAAAGTGTCCACTGCAGAAAGTGCTTGTTTGTTAGTAAGATTGGGCGGTGAATCTTCGATTTCCTCATCCTGATAGTTCACAAGAAGCTTTTGTTTGAGAGATGATATCATTGTCATCACATTGACCACACACTGTTATTGCATCATTTACGTTTACAGAGTCATGAAATTCCATGTCATCAAGTTTCATGAGTCCAGTCAATCTGTCCCAATCATTTTCGATGTAGTTTTCAGCAGAATTAACGATATTGATTGACTTTCGTGATCTTTAATGCATCCAGCCTTCTTGAAGACATTCATTATCGTAGAGGAGGACACATCATTCCATGCCACTGATGTCTTTATGTCCATTTTTTTTTTTAAGTTTATCATTATGTGAATTGGTTTTCTATTCTTAAAATGTTTTGTTTTTTTTGGAATATTTTTTTATCTTCAGAAAAAAAATCTACACTATTTATGGAAAAAAGAATTCAAGTTATCGAGGAATTAGAAAAAAAAAAATTCGTGAAATCAGGTTTTTTTTAACATTGAGTGTATAGGAAATTTGAAGGAAATTTTTTCTTCTTCGAGATATCGAAAAATTCGTGAAATCGAGGTTCGAGTTAGCGAGGTTTGACTGCATTTCGATATTGAACAAAGTTTGTCATGAAATATCATGATTTTAATTATTTTTTTTAAAAAAATGATGGAAAGTCATGGATTTAGGTCGCCAAAACATCCAATTTTTAAAATGAAATTCACCCCCACTCCCTCATTTCATGGTGTTCCGAATATCTGAATTTATAGCAAAATCCCCACTCGCAGTCATATTTATAAAAAATATTAAATGTTTTTATCGTGTTCTTTGAAAATTATGGTGTTCTTTCAAAATATGAACGAAAGAATATCATTTCTGAGCAATATCTTTTAAACTTTTTGATTTCAATTTTTTTGTTATTATTTTTATTTTATCAATTTAAAATTCTAGCTGAAACAAGCCAGTCATTGGCGAATTTTTTTAAATTCTGAAATGAGAACAGAAAAATCAGAAGTACTTCTTTCCTTTCCCATGAACAAGAAAAGTATCTTTAGAATATAATTCTGCAGAAAAAAAGAAAAAAAAAATATTTGCTTGTATTTTTTCAGCTATTTTATTGCTTCAACTTTTTCTTTACTCTGTTTTTTAAATTTAAAACCAATAAATATGAAGAAGCAGATTATAACAGTTTGGTATCATTTCAATTAATGTTATTACTATTTTTCTTTTTATTTCTCTTTCACCTTCTATTCAACGATATGCGTGTGCAATGCTTGTTCCCCGCCCCCCACATAAATCAAAGAGAAAACGAAAACAGCATGCCACTCCCTTTTTGATTGACGGTAGCTTATCTGAAAACCACAAATTCTAGGGAATGCAGGGAAGAAAGTAAAAAGTTTCCCCTTTTCCGGCCCCTTCCCGTCCTAAAGAACTTCAAGGTTACAGAAGAAATAATCAAGTTTTCTCTTGACAAATGACTCCCCCCACCCACCCTTTTTCCTACTAAACTTCACAAATGAGTAACACTTCCGCATTTTTTCTCCATCCTTCCAGTTCAAAATGGCAGGAAAACGAAGCGAAATTTTTCCCGGTTTTCTGATTTCTCGGTTTTCTGGGTACCGGATAAATGGTTCTGTACTGTACTTCCAAAATGATTATTTTCCAAAAGGAAAATATTGTGTATTTATAATCTTTTTATCGCTTAATTATTTAATATCTGATCTGTATTTATCTCAGATTTAATATCTGATATGTAATATCTTAGTGTGACCTTAAATTATTTCAGGTAGATATACTTGATCCTGCTGAGACGAAGTGTGGTAAATATGGTGTGTTGTCTCTGCGCTCACCTCCCTCCTCACCCGTCATTCAGCAGCAGCAACTCCCTTCTGATGCAGCAGCCACCAGTGATGATGCCTCTTGTGAATCTCTTCCAACCAAGTATCGTGTTCATGTTCACATGAGGGGAGGAAGATCTTATGCAAAACATATCCAGTGGTGGACTGGAGTGAAGAGTATGCATTTTTGGTACTTAGGGATTATCCTGTCGACCATTTTTGGGATTATCCCATCTATAATTTTAGTACTTTGGAATTATCCAATCGACCATTTTCCTACTTTGGGATTATCCCGTCGACCATTTTAATACTTTGAAATTATTCCGTTGACCATTTTCATACTTTAGGATTATCCCACCAACCATTTTCCTACTTTGGGATTATCCAGTCGACCATTTTTGCCAAAAGGCTGCAAATTTTATCATATTTACTGTGCAATCCTTTATTACTCGAGTTAGTTTTTTTTAGCATATTTAAATGAATTTATGTGGTGGCACAAGGATAATGATTTGTTTGGTTACGCTTTAAAAGCTATTTTTTTAGGCACTGAAATGATTTATAATAATATGTATGGTTAGATCCAAAAATAATTCAATGTGTAATTATAAAAAAAAGATGTTTTTATTTTGTTTTAATTCTTTTTATTGCATTTTTTTATTATGTATTTTTACACTTAAATTTTTTTTTTTTGTTTTTATTATTTTATTATTATTACTATTTGATAAATTTAATGTGTTTAGAATGTTTATTTTGGAAATCGCTTTTCATTATGATAATGGCGAAGGATTTGCACATTTTCACAAGCATTGCCAGGTTGATGAAATAATCTCAAAGTACCACATTTTTTCATGTAACAGTTCAAATTTTCCCATAAGCAACTCCCTATTATTAATTTTAGCAGAACAAATGAAGGTTGAGTGACTGAAGCATATAAAAAAACGCTACTTTTTTAAATTTCAAATTAGAGAATGGACAAGACATCAACGTGTAAACTAAAGATTTTTGCTTTTTTTTTTCTTCATAAATTTAATCTGAAAACATCTAAACATTTGATTAAATACTGCTTGCCAAAATAATAATAATAATAATATGACATTTTATAGAAAGAAAAGGAAAATTTTTCAGCCATTGAAATAATTACTTAATTGGTGATTGTTATTCAATAAGTATCCGGGGTTTGATTTTATTTTAATGGATTAAAAAAATAATTTGTTTAATCAGAAATTTCGATAAATAAAGGCTCTTTAAATCAGGATCAATGCCGTAGCTAGTGGTATTTAGAGGGGACATCCATTTGTTAATTATGATCCCCATAACTTCTTCAAATTTCTTCTGAGTTGTATAAAAAGTGTCTATTATTATTGTACTTAGCTTTGCACTTAGGTGTTTTTAATATTAAATGTTGACATATTTTTCAAGGAGGCGTCCTGAACAGAGTGGAAGTGTCTCGTCTTGTTTGGCCTTACATGGTGAGCATTGCACTTGCCTATTTTGTGACTCTCTGCCTCTTTCCTGGGATTGAGAGTGAGATTGTAAGCTGTAATCTCAGATCCTGGATGCCTGTTATTCTCATGGCTATTTTCAACTTATTTGACTTTGTGGGCAAAGTAAGTACCTTATACCTATTTGAAGAGCTTAGTTGAAAAACATTTGAGTTGAAAATTGATACCTAGTCGTAAACCCAAAAATAGGTCGTCAGTTATAAAACAGTGTTGCCCCTCCACAGGGAAAACCTGGAAAATACAGGGAATTTAAAAATCACCTAAAGTAACAGGGAAAATGTAGGGAATTTTGAGTTTTTCTTTAGAAACTGGGAAAATAAAAGGAATTTTGTTTCTTATTTTCGCCTTTTTAAAAATGGAGACCCAGACCACTCATACTGCAATGTACGGATGATATTTCAGCTATATTAAACTAGTTCATTTACTATAGCATTATTTTTTTTAAGTTTGTTCAGTTGTTTTATGTTCAGTTTTTTCAGCAATTATAACTGTAGTTAGCCCAACATAGATCTTACAAGAGCTTGTGTTTTTCCTCCTAATATATTGTATACAATTTGTACAGGGAATTTTTTTTCCAGATTTGAGTGGCTACCCTGTAAAATAAAATTAAACATTTATGTGTCTCTTTCCAGATCTTCGCATCTGCCTCATTTGAGTGGAAGAGAAGGCATTTGGTTTTGTTGTCCGCTATGAGAATCCTGTTAGTTCCCCTTTTGGCTGCATGTGTTGCACCCAGAGGAGATCCATTGCTCCCTGGTGAAGGGTGGTCCATGTTCTTCTCTGCAGTGCTGGGTATCACCAATGGAATCGCTGGATCCGTACCCATGATAGTGGCACCTTCTATGGTCTCTGATGACCAAAAAGAGCTCACTGGTAAAGCATTTTTGTTAACCTAGTTGTACAATGTGCAAAAGTGAACACACTGCCCTAGCAACAAAACATCTTGGACCCTCATTGGATTGATATTCATAAATCTTGGCTCAATACGGATTCAAAGGACCATTATTATTTTTCCTATATTGTCCCTATGTAGAATAGTCAAATTTACCCAATATTTTACAGCCATTTTACAAACATTATCAGCCCTATGTAAAATTGTCAGATTCATCTGATATTTTATATTCATTATTTAACCAATATAGGCCCTAAATAGATCGTTCTACGACCAATATTAAAAAAATCAAGACATCCTAATATCAGTGCATGTTCCAGGGAGCGTAGCGTTTTTAAAAAGTGCTTATTTTTGATTTAAATTTTTTAAAAGCCTTTAAAGGTGCTTTTTTCATTTGGGGTTTTTAAAAAGTGATTAATTTTCTATCTTTTAAAAAGAGACTTTTTCTTTGCCGTGTTCATTGTCGTTCTAAATTACAAAAAAATGCATGATTTTCACAATTTTTCTCCACAAAATTTATCAGAAACTAGTTATTTTATCATGATTATGTGAAGTTAGTGAAAATGTTTTTGAATTTTAATGATTTTATGTTCATGAATTAAAAACTTTAACCAATGGAAAAAAATAATTTTTATTACTGCACAGATCCTAATTATGATTTTTTTTTTTTGGAAAGTGATTAAAAATATTTTTTGAGTGCTTAAAAAGTATTTAAAAGGTGCTTATTTTTGGTTGAAAAATTTGACTGCGCACCCTGTGTTCTTATAGGATCCATATTGATCCAATTTTGAGTCCAACTGGAGCCATGGTAAAATTGTTGCTAGGGTGAATAAATTTTGATATATTAGGACTGGCATATCACATACTAAGACTGGCTATTTCCCTGGTCCACCTTTAAACGTACTCATTAATTATTGCAGACAATATTTTAACCTATGAAAAGACAAAAACATTTCTCTAATTAAACATACTTTTTTTCTGACAGACTCGAATTTCTTACCCATAAAATATGGGAGGTAGCCATAAGCTGAAAAATATGGATCCACTAGTTTGGGCAGAAGGGCAATAAAAAAATTGGACCCTTTTACGTTAATTTTACTTTTTGCGTATTTTGCTGTATCTGAAGAGCTTATAAAGGAAAATTAAAAACATTTTGCGCACCATTATAAAATTTGTTTAGCAAAAGCTAATTCCAATGAAAAAGTACTTTTAAATAATTATAATTTTACTTAATAATTGTTTAAAAAAATGTCCAATTCATAAAGTATACAAATTCTTATATTGTTTTGAAACTTAGAATTTTAAATGACAAAATACGAAGTATCGATGAAAACGGTCCAATAGTTCTCGAAGAATTAAATAATGTGTTTGTTTTTTTATTTTTAAATTTGATAACTCAGAAACTATTCTTTCAAATTTTGAATTTTGTCATTTTAAAGGAGTAGTATGTCCTAGTACGTGAAAATCCTACTACTGGATCCAAATTTTTTTTAGAGTGTTTTTTTAAATTTATATTCTGTACATATTTTTAGAATTAAGCCTGTTATCACATAATTTTGATAAAAGAGAAATCTCTAATTACCCATATTTTCTTCGAGAAACATAAAGAAAATTTTTCTCCCATTAATTAGAGTACATATTTTTTGGAATAAGTCTGTTATCACATAATTTTGATGAAAAGGAAATCTCTAATTATCCATATTTTCTTCGAGAAGCATGAATGAAATTTTTTCTCCTATTAATTAAGGTGATTGGTTCAAAGTTATTCTTAATTTTAACTTGATAAAATTTACTTGTGAAAAAATCAGTTATTAAAATTATAATCACCACATAAATAGTTACGAAAAATATTTATAATGAAAATAATCGATAAATTATGATAGATATGATCAATGATTATAAACTAAATGAAATAACTGCGTGGAGGTAAAAAGAAAGTTTTATTTTTATTTTTTTTCAAAGCGTAGGCTTCTATTGAATTACAATTGATAAGGCAAGATTGCGATCACATTTAATGAAATATACACTCAACTCTACACCGTCAATGATTTTGAAGATGGTGATAACTAAGTTGGTAAAATTACTATGTCAAATGTCTGAACATAGGTTGAATTTATTGATTACAGTAAGACCTCGATTATCCGAGCTAATTGGGACCGCTAGTACCTCGGATATCGGAAATCTCGGTTAATAGGAACCATGTATAAAAACCTTCCGTGCTTGCGAATTTAACTACTTTTAAAGTAAAAAACAATATAACGTTTTTTAAATGATAAAAATAAACATAGGTGAACTTATGCTTCACAGCTAAAAAGACTTAAAAAGGAAATCAGCTCTAGTAGTAAATTTTAAAAAGTAAAATGGATTTTTTTTTAACTATACTTAGTTAAATATCGAAAGACGCAAAAAAAACACAAATCTCAAGAAAATACACACAATCTTTCAAAAATCTTTCAATACAGAAAGAACACAAATCTTTCAAAAATTACACAAATCTCAAGAAAATATTGTATTTTTAAAATTTACATGATTAAACTTACAAGTCACATGACCACTGTTAACAAGGCATTCATGGGTGTTGTCTTCTCAGGGTGTAATATTTCATGGAAGTTGAGTGCTTTTGTGGGGAATTAGTGCCTGTAACACGGACAACGAACTGATATGTGTATAGTTTCTTCCAAGCTCATTTTGGAAAGGAGAAAAAAAATTTTGACTTCGTTATTGCCTCGGTTAACAGAAACCTCGGTTAATCGAAGCTCTGTTAATCGAGGTTCTACTGTACTTACAAGGTAGTTTCTTGAACTGCATAAGAGCTCAAGAAGTTCAAGAGTTCACTGGCTACCAGAAATTTTTGTTGAATACCGACTCTTGGAGCCCTGGAAATTACCATATATTAAAATTTCTATTTCATTTTAATTTTACACCTGTTATGATTACTTTAAACAGCTTCAATACTTCTGATAGTACTCTCATTTTTTCACATATTATTGTATTTAAAGAAAATCTGACCATTTCAATAGGCTAGTCAACAAAAAAAAAGTAAAGTAGGCCAGTCAAAATTCTTAACTGATTATCCAAATAACTTGAAATTTGAGGGGATAGAGCATTCGCCTTCCAATGAGGTGAAGCAGTTTCAATTCCCAGCAATGGCTGGTGGATACGAATTCCACACCCGACTCACACCAGCCACAGTTTTGGCATAAAAATATCCTTAGTGGTAAATGGATCATGGGGTATAGTCCTGTTGCTCTCATATTAACTGTGGGAGGTTTTCGTGGTTTTCCTCTCCATGTAACGCAAATGCGGGTTAGCTCCATCAAAAAAGTCCACCAAGAAGGCAAAATTTCACCCAATATCTGATTCAGGAGTTCACTTGTCTTCTGGCTTGGGTTCATAGTTACAAGGCTACGGAGTTGAAAATTAGTAGCCGTAAACTCAAAATTTGAGTTGGCTGTGAAACTACGGTTCTATAAAAAAAAATCTTTAAAAAAAGGTGGAATTTGGAGTTCTTTTCGATGGGGTGAAGAGGATTTTTGTGGGACTCAGTAGAATCCATTGCAGAGTGGGACAATGCTGCTAACGTTATTGAATCAGCAATATTTTGGAAATCAGAATTTTTTGTGGAATATTTCAATTTCTAGCTGTACGGTATGTTTTAAAAGTTTTCATTGTGTTTTATTTTTTGAAGTTCTCTTGAATAAATAAACCATTTTCACTTTTCTTATTTTTAATTTTTTTTTTCTGAGCTATTTAAAAGGAATGTTTTGAAAAAAAATCTTTATGTTTTAAAAAAATATGATGAGAGAAAATGCAAGATTAATTGAATATGAAGATTAAAAAAGTTTTGTAAATTAGTACCGTAGGGGTGCTCAACCTGCGGGCCAAATGCGGCCCGCCAACCCTCGATGTGCGGCCCGCGGCCGCAATCTGAACAAAATGAAGGGGGGAAAATTAAATATTTGTTTTTGAAAAATAATAAAAAAAATTAAATTTACACTTTTAAGTTTTTGACGCACCCAATCTCAATCAATGTAGTTTTTCGATGGTTAACGCTACGGATTTCAGCATAGTTTTAAAAATTCCAATATTTTTAATACATCATTATTACGATTTACGAAATTTAATTACCACTTTTGACGCTTTTCGTATGTGCCGATTCCAATGACTTCTCGGTAGTTATTGCTACCCATTTTCAAGTAGTTTCTGAAATAGCGATTTTTTAAAGTTATGAAACGCTTTATTTGAGCAAACTTCATGGAAAATCTAAATGACTTTAGATCCTTTCTTCAACAGTTATTGCTGCACATTTCCTCCCGGTTTTTAAAACTTCGATATTTTTTAGCACGATATTATTACGAATCGCGAGTAAAGAATCGCTCATTTAGATAACCATTTTTTGACATCACTTATTTGTAACGATTTTATCGCAAATCAAATCATTTTTCAATCGTTATTTTAGAAATTATTGTTACACATTTCTACAAGGTTTTGAAAGTACCGATATTTTTTATACGCTATTGGGACATTTTAATTTCAAATCCCGCATTTAAATTACATAAAATTTCGATGTATTTTATTTACTCCAATTTCATCTGAAATATAAAAGTATTTTGGTTATTGTTTTAGTAGTTATTACGTTTTCCCCGTGATTTAAAAAGATTATGATATTTCTAATACTATGGTTTGACAGCAAGCGAGTTTTGAATCGCGCATTAAAATAATTATTTTTTACGTGCTCTGTTTGTGCCGATTTTATCATTTGCGTTGTACCGTTTTTAACACGCATTTTTTAAGAGATTTTTCGAACGTGTTTTTTCTTCTTTCCCGCTATTGCTGCATTTTTATTTGTGATTTAGAATATACCTGATATTTTCACACAATATTACAACTCGTGAAATTCGATTCAGGTTTAATTTTTTTTCGTAACTTAAAAAGTAATTGCGTACTTTAGCCAAATCAACACCTACCCAGGGGAAAAAAACGAGACGTGTTTATATTAAACGCGGTCCGTTTTGCAAAAAAAAAAAATTCAAAACACGGCATAATTCTTTAATCCCATGAACATGTGCAAGTTTAACAACACACATCGAACCTATTCTTTTTGTTGTCACATGTAATTTAAAAAGCATACATCGTAATTTGCATTTACGCTATCTGAAAATTGCGCATCGCATTTCGTATTAACATTAATCAGATTTAAAAATAATCCATCGCGTTTCGTATTTACGGGATTTAAAATCACGTATCGCAATTCGTGTTCTGGCGTTTAAAATATCATCCGTTGCTACTTTTCTCGCAACTCATATGCACGCGTTTTAAAAACCATATATCGCGATTCATATTCATGCATTTTAAACTCAAATGTTGTGAGTAGTCCTTTCACAATTTAAAAGCCACACGATTCGTATTCACGCGATTTGAAAAACAAGCATCGAGTTTTTTATTTACGCAATTTAAAAATCACACATGGCAATTCGTATTCAAGCAATTAAAAAATAACACATAGCAATTCGTATTCAAGCAATTAAAAAATAACACATCGCTATTTGTATTTCCGCGATTTAAAAACCCAGAAAGGAAGAACACCATCTAGGACAAATTCCAAAACTGATTATGTTATTTGCTCTAAGTTTAATACTACCCACAACAACAGCTTCTGTCGAAAGACTGTTTTCCAGAATGAATTTGGCCTGTTCAAAATTACAGAGTAGTCTTTAAATACAATCATTACATTTTCATTTAATGGCTCAAAAAATATCACATGATCAAGTAGATAAAATTATCACAATATTCAAAAATTTTTCAAATTACAGTATAACCATTAAGAAATTTTTTAAACCATTTTCTACCTTCTTGGAGCATTTTATATCATTTATGATTATATGCTGGGAAATGATTTGTATATCATTAAATTTTAACTGAATAAAAAATTAAATCAAGATAAGTTTCGCAAAGTAATGTAAATTTTATTGATTGTTAATTGATTGTGTATTAATTGTAAATAGTAAGCGTCATGTTAAAAATATATTCGTCATAAAAAGTTGTAAACAAGTATCTTAATAGTTTTTTATTATTAAGGAATATAGTTCCTTAAAATTTAATGTGTTTTCTTTGTTTCTTTTTCTTCTCTCTCTCAGCCTCTTATTATTAATTTAAAATAAAAATGTCTGAAAGTTAAAGTACATTCCCTAATAAATGCTAAATCTTATTTTCCACTTAAGGGGTTTTGTTTTAGTTTTAATCATTTTTAACCCTATAACTTTCTTTAAATCAAAGAATTTAACTTGAATTTATATTAATAACTAGAATATTTATTTATTTGAAATTTAATTCTATGAAAAAAAATTTAACGTTAAAACTTATGTTTAAATGGACTTTTGTATTTTGTAATGTCATAAAAAAAAATTTCAATTTTTCCATAGTTTTTTAATTATTTCAATTTATCTAAATTTTTTCTGATAAATTGATTCTGATTTTCAAATTCTGTTTTCCTTCTTAAGTAATCAGTTTTGCATTTTCTAATTTTAAACGTTTTAAAGTATTTTATTTTCTGCAAAGAGATTACAAGGTTAACCGACAAAAAGAATTTAGTGTTATATAAANAAATAAAATATCTTCACTTTTCTTATTCTTAATTTTTTTTTCTGAGCTATTTAAAAGGAATGTTTTGAAAAAAAATCTTTATGTTTTAAAAAAATATGATGAGAGAAAATGCAAGATTAATTGAATATGGCAGATTAAAAAAGTTTTGTAAATTAGTACCGAGTAGTTCATATATATATCGTTGTTTATAATGCTTTGGTATTTCAGAGTCAAGAAATGTCCATCTTTATTACTGAGACATAAGTTAACCCCCTGATTTTCGTAATGTTTTGGGGGTTTGAAAAGTCACCACATACACCAGGAGGATATACAGTATGCTTTAGAAAGCTATGTTAAATACTTTTCCACTTATATCTATCTATTTTCAGGTAACATTATGACCTTGTCCTACAGTATAGGATTGACTCTTGGATCGGGTGTTGCATATTTTATCGACTACTTACTTGGACCAACACTCCTTTCTCCCTGTGCACCATTGATTCCAGAAAATATTACTGAACACTCCTTCAGTAATCTGACTATTTACAACTCAGATGTTTGGAACATAACATTACCTTTGAATTATTCACTTAATAACAGTAGCTTTCTGTAAACAGATGATGTTTCTTTTCTTTTTAAAAGGGGCTATTTAAATGTGACATAAGCATTTGTGATTTGCTTTCTTTTTTCTTTTTTTGCCAACATGGGAGTGTTTACTGATCAATGCTTACTTATGAAGCTTAAATCCCCTCCTTTTTTAAAAATGAAAAAATAACGTAAGAAAAATTAAAGCAGTTAAATTTCGAAGAAATTTGCACTTGAAATAAATGTTAAATATGGTTAAAGAATAAGTTTGGAAATCTTTTTGAAGGAATATTTAGTTACATAAATTAATTAAAAATTTAATTTTATTTCTTTATGTATATATTTGCAAAGCTACCTCGTGTCTAATTTATTACTAAAAATTTTAAAATTAAACTACTACAGTAAAAGGGAGGAAAGGGAAGTCCAAAAATAGGCTTCTTCTTCTATTGGTGTGGCAACCCTTTGTAGGCCAGAGCCTTCCCTAGAACCTTCCTCCATTCTGCTCTTTTCTAACCAATTGTTCTCTAGTTGGTAATTTTTAGGATTTTAAAATCCTCTTCCTCACACATTCTTACTCTCAAGCTATCTGATCTTAGGTTTACCTCCAACTCTAGTTTCCTATGATTTGTAATTTAAGATCTTAAATGTCAAGGAAGAAGGATCCATTCAACCAGATGTGACCCGCTAGCTTTAATTGACTTATTTTGATGTATTTGTTGATATCAGCTTCCTTGCATATACAGCTCAAAATTATGTAGTTGCAAAAGAAATAGGCTTATGTAACCTTTAAAGGGCTCCTTAACATTATAATATCTTTTAATGTCAATGTAACTTTGGTTCAAACATTATTAGCTATAGAACCAAACATATATTATTGTTATCACATGGATTATTGGGATCCTTGGATAATTGGACGTGGATTATTGGATTATGGGCTTATTAGGATTATTGGAGAAAGTGGGAGGCTCGTGTATAATGATAAAAAAAATATCTTCCTCATATGGAAGGCAAGATCTATAGATTGTTTTTAAATTATTTAATATGTTTTTTATACCTATTTCATATGTTATTTATTGAAAAAAAAATTCATTAAATTGAAGCATTTCTATAAACCTACTATTAATTTCAAGGTATGAATAAATGCTTAATAATATATGAATAAATTCTTAATCATTCCTTAAAATGAATTGCAAGTTGAAATAATTTAAATATCAAATTAAATATAAATTCGCATATTATTCATTGATAACGTTTTACATTTTTTTTTCTTTTTATTCATTAAATTACAAGATTTCATGTATGAGCAAATTATGGGCAAGATTTTCGTATCCTGATCTGTGGCAGAATAATCGCCAATTCTTGGGAACTTCCGGGCAGTGGCCCATGAGAAACTAGAGACAAAACAACACAGAAAGGGACCAACTCGAAAGATATAACTCGTAGCCACCCCCGGACAAACATCTACACGTTTTTTCTAATAATTTGTGAGTTTAAAATCTGTTTGACACCTTTGCAATTGTAATTGACGCGACAGATCACGATACAGAACTATTCCCAAATTATCATGTATCAATTTAAAATATCCTCATTGGTTGATGAATCGTGAGATAGAATCCTTTTTCCTCTGGGCTAACCGTGGGAGGTTTTCCTCGCCTTGTTAATCCAGGTTCAACCAAAAGGTCCGCCACAAAGCCCTTTTTACTTGTAACTTTTTTTTTATTATGTATTTTATAATGTGAAGTTATTGGCAGCTAATCTGCTAGTGATGTCTTAATGAGGGGAATAGAATGTAATAAAATTTCTAGAATACCTCCTAGCTTCATAGAATCAATTTTTGAGATTGATATTTAATTATTTATATATATATGATAAAGACTAATTTTTTTATGTGTAAATTTTTAATAGTATTCCCGTGAACATCAAAAAAATTAGTGCATTGTTTAATATTGAATTATTTATGATTATTATTTTAACTATTTATATTATTATTTTGTTTAATATTTAATTATTTATACAGTTAAACCTGTTTATCTCAAACCTTTTTTTCTCAAAAACCTCTATATCTCAACATTTCTAAAATTCCTTACATTTACTATTTAAAATCAATGTATTTTCCATGTCTATCTCGAATTTTTTTTTTTCAAAACCTCTGTATCTCATATTTTTAATAACCGAGCACAAACGCTTTAACAACATGACAAACAAAGAAGGTTAGATGTCAAAAATCTTTAAAAAAATTATTATTAGTGTTAAAGGTATGTTAATTTTTTTTTTATGTAAATAGATATATGTGGTACAATTAAAGCAGTTTTAATTGAATTTCTTAATTAAATTTTATTTTTTAAAGTACCTGTATAGCTCGAAACCTCTTTATCTCAAATTTTTCAACTTCTCTGTGAGATTCGAGATAAACGGGTCCGACTGTATTATTAATTTGTTTACTAATTAATTATTTGTTAATATTGATTTATTTATAACCATATAAGAAAGACTAACTTTTTATGATATTGACTGTGCAATTCTTTACTAGTATTGCTGTATACATCAAAAAAATTAATGCTTTGTTTAATATTTAATTATTTATAATTATTATTTTAATTATTTATATTATTATTTTGTTTACAATTTAATTATTTTTTAATATTTAATTATTTATAAGTATATAAGAAAAATTAATTATTAAGACTACTTAATGTTTTGTTTAATATATAATTATTATTTTAATTATTTATAATATTTTGTTTTCTATTTAATTATTTGTTAATATTATATTATTTGTTAATATTTAATTATTTATAAACATAATAAGGAAGACTAATTTTTTTTATGATATTGACTGTATAATTCTTTACTAGTATTCCTGTGAACACCAAAAAAATTAATGTTTTTTCATTTTTAGAAACTGTAAATAGTTTTTTTTTTTTTTATTTNTTGTTGATATTTAATTATTTATAAACATAATAAGGAAGACTAATTTTTTTATGATATTGACTGTATAATTCTTTACTAGTATTCCTGTGAACACCAAAAAAATTAATGTTTTTTTCATTTTTAGAAACTGTAAATAGTTTTATTTTTTTTAATTTTATTTTTATTAGATTTTTTTTAATTAGATTTCTAGATTTTTATAAGATTTACTTAAGCATACTTCTAACTTATTATGTCATTAATGAATTAGCTTTACTCTTTGTGTATTTTTTTAAATATAAATAATACTTGATGTTTTAAATTGTGCGTCCCAATTTGTTAAAATTGAAAGTTTTAAAGTTTTAAATTTTAATTATTTTTATCTACACTATACATTGTAACAACAAGTAATTATTGCAATATTTAACCCAATTTGTTAAAAAGTATTGAGATATAAAAAGTTTTCTTTTCATTAAAAATTAATATGATATTTTGTTATATAAAATATTCTTAAAAATATGGTCAGTTGTAAAATGTAATAACAGTAGACTTCTGGTTATCTGTTATTTGTACTGTTCCGCCTAATAAAAATGAGTTATACTCGAACAAACACTTTGTAACACACATGTTGTAGGAGGAAAGATATATAAGAAAAGCTAAAGTATTTGTCTATATAATTTGACACTTTCTAGTCATAACTTTTCACATTTATGTAGTTCTTTAATTAACAGTAAGCATTTTTTCATTGCTCAAAAATTTTATATTCATTATTTTTCCCAATCTAAGTATTTTTAATTATATGTTTTTCTTATGTAATTATTTATGTGTTTATTATGCTATTAATGTATGTTATAATGTTTTATTATGTGAATAATTGTATTTATCTGTGTGTTTTTTAAATATATGTTTTTCTTCTTTAACTAATTATATGTTTATTATGCTATTAATGTATGTTATAATGTTTTATTATGTGAATAATTATATATGTTTATTATGTGATAAGTTATGCGTTTATTTTGTTTTTAATTATATTTATCTTTGTGTTTTTAAGTATATGAGAATGGAGCTGAATTTTGTCTTATGCAACTGTTTTGTTATCTGGCCTAATCCTCTGCGACATTAGACCGGATAGTTGAGAATCTACTGCATTTTTAAAAACAAATGGTGGTTTTTATTTTAACTTTAGTATTTAAGGAAAGATATGTTTTCTTGATTTACAAAATAATGCTAACTCCATACTCTACCTATAAATCTGAAAATGTTTGTGAGTTAGAACTGTGAACAACTTTTGAAAGTTCCATCAAAGATTTCGGAATGGCTGTTATGTATATCTACATAAAATCAATGTTTAAAGTATAATTTCTATAAAAATCTCAACGCTTTTGTTACCCTCCTTGCAAAAATCATATTGATAGAGAGTAACAATGTAGGTTTTTTAATAAGTTAATAGAATACACAATATATGGTCTCTAAATCACATGACTGCGTTTCAAGAATTGCGATGTGTAATTCATAAATCGCCTAAATATACCTGGTCTATAAATCTTGATATATGTTATTCTAAATAACATGTGAATACTTATTGAAATGATTCCAAAATCAAGTGAATGTGATTAATGTCTAATTCAAAAATCACATAAACAAGAATCATGAAATGTAATTTGTAAATCATTTTATCCTGTATTAATATAAAACTCTTTACCTGTTAAGCTCTTCAAAAAATGTTTTGGGAGTCTTTCATTCCCTAAATTTAGTGCAAAACTTAAAATTTTTGTTGGATCTTTTCAATTTTTTCCCTTTTAAAATTATTGGAATTTCTATGTAAGCATTGCCCATACCCTTCCAATTATTAATATTTTGCGTAACATTTCAATGGTCCCACATAAATTGTGATTTGTGAATCAGGATAAAATAAATTGAAGCTGAAGAAAAATATGTATTAGGTATATTTTGCTAAAAAAAATCTTAGTTTTTTAAGTAATAGAATGTTTTTTGAATATCTACTTCTACCAGATTTTTTGTTTCGATTTCAAATTGATGGAAGGGTTTCGATTTTTATGATGTCAAAGTCTGTCAAAAGGCGCTAACAATTTTGACCTATGCCATCTTCTGAAGATACTGTTTTATTGTGTCTGTAAAATTTTTCATTTTGAACATGTGCCAAAAATTGAATTTTTTAAATAGCTTTAAGGAAAAAGAAAAACTTTTCTGTCTCTTACTGCCTGAATTGAAAATTACTTTGATTGTTTTCATCTAGAGCAAACTTTTGCCAAAATTCTTCAATGTCTTAAAATGTTTGAAATATTATCATAATTTTTGAAATATTTGCTACTAAATCTAAACAATTTCGTATCCCTCCGCTTATGTTATGCTTACGAGGCTATGTGTGAACAGGCTTGATGTTCTTCTTGAGTTGCGATTTGTGTTCAAATTTACACGTAATTTTACCATTCATAAGAGTTTTATGTGATTTATAAATTCTAACAGGTCGTGAGCCTAAAACAAAATTAATATCACAGCATAAAAAAGTGTAAGGTTAGCCATGTTTTGTGTTTTATCCCTTATTTGGCTATATTTGTGTAAAATAGCACGGTTTGTTATTTTTTGGATTGCATCATAGCAAACTTGCAGAGGCTTCCGAATTCATTTGTTGTTTGTTTCGTTGAGAGTTAGATTGAAGGAGCGTGTTATATTGAAAATATTACTACAATAATAATATTGGGTGACACGCTTTTTCAAGTTTAGGCGTAAAAATCATCTGAAAGTAATGACCGGAAAGTCTTAGGACGAATTTTAACCCCTAACGAAATCTGTGCTTAGCTTTACACAGTCAACCATTCATAGTATAAAATTAAATCTCACCTTTAAGTACTCTTTTGTTTTCTTTTTTCATTTCATTTCTTTAGTGAAGCAACTTTCAAAATCACCCATAACAAGTTTTAAGTAAGTAGAATTTTAAGTTTTATTGTTTTATGACAGGGATTTTAAATTATAGACTTACATGATGAATGTTTATTATAGCAATACTCTGTTAAGAAATGAAAATATTTAAGAGGCTCTTTTTCTGATTTTTTTTCAATTAAAACTGATTTACAGGGTATAACGGAGGAATATATTTTGCTTACTTAATTAATAACTGTCTTTCATATCACATATACTAAAAAAATTATTTGAAAGAAATATTTTTATAATTACATAACAAGAATGCAAAAAAATTTTTTTAATTGTTTGAATGATGAAAACATTATTAAAAGGTTGGGGGGGGGTAAAAAACTTAGTTTGAGAAAAAATACACTTTTGAATTTTCTTTTCTCTTTTTAATTAAAATTTTTTAAATTATCAAACTAGTTATTATTTATCCATAGTTAACATTATATCATATCACATATACTTAAAAAATTATTAATGAATTATTTTAACTAAATATTTTTAAAATTACATTGCAAAAGTTCAAAAAAATTTTTTTAATCATTTGAATGACGAAAAAATTATTAAAACGTTGGAAGGAAAAAAATAGTTTAACGAAAAATACACTTTTGAATTTTATTTTATTTTTTAAATTATTAGACTAGTTATCATGTATCCATATTTAACATTACATAAGTTATCAAAGAGAAGTGAAGTTAG